CTCCTGACAACTTCTAAGAACAAGGCTCATTATTGTCATCCTTGTTAACTATGAGGGTAGAAAATGAGCAGAGACTTTTGTTCCTGTTCGTTTAGGCTCTGTAATGTGTTAATTTCGCAATTTTGAGAGCTTCTCATTGCGGGAATCCCCAGATGCATTATAACATCAAAAAATTATTATATTAGGTGGGCATTAGGTGATGCCTTTTCTTGAAGAATATGAATATGTATAAGATACTCGCGTGAATATGTATAAGAGCGAAAAAGTTTAAGCACTAGAAGTTATTCTGAAAATTTTTGCAAAACAATTGAGCTTCTTTCAAAAACTTTTCGCATGGACGATAATTTTTCCCTTGGCCCCCTTCCACTTTCTACCCTGTGTTGGAGCCTCAGATGCAGAGAATAGACACCTTGATTGATTAGAATTACTGTGGAAATAATTTGTTATTTTCGAAATCAAAATTTATCATCACGATTATCATTAATTACCGCTTGTATTTTTAAGAAGTTGAAATTACGATTTGATTCATTCAACATAACCGTATATTATATGTTACCGCATGCCTAAGTTCTGCGCTCACGCTAGGTCACTGACTGAAATACATTCAAATTCAGTACAGAAGAAAGCAAAAATCACAAAAATCTTCAAGTAAAGGTTTATTGGAGACTCCAGTAATGGTATCAAATGGGCTCCGACGCAGGTTGAAAAGTGGAGGGGCCAAGAGAGAATATAACAATCATAACAAAAGTTTTTGAAAAAAGCTCTATTGTTTTGCAAAAAAGTGAGGGGACGGGGTTTTAATTAAGGCGGGATTTTCTATTTGCGTTAATTAATGTAGGTGCCGAGATAGGTTGTTGAAAAAACATGGATTGGTTGCTCTTTTCTCGTTTTCTTTTGTCAAGCAAGGAATTGTTGGTGCACGAAAATGAAAGGACTGGAACGAGAACTCGTGTGACCAAAGATGGCTTACAGGCAGAGACAGTGCGACCAGATCTAGCATGATATAATTATTTAGCATAATTTTGGTCATAAATCGTCATTTAGCAAAAAAATTGGCATAATTTAGCATAATTCAGGCATAGTTCTAATATTTTGTTAAAAAGTCATTGTTTCCATTGAAAAGTAATCTGCTGTCTATCGTAACTGTATTCAAACACTTTACATCTGCGTGTGTGGCTAAAATTTTGTGAGTAAATTGAGATGCCATCTTATCATAAAATTTCGGTGCAAAGCAGCAAGATGCTACCGGATTTATTGGACATTTCTACTGGATTTTTGAAAGTAATTGGGTGGATTTTTGCGGATGTTTGGCAGGGTGTACGGGAGTGATACATCACTCGCTTTTTTAAAGAATATTGTTTAAGAAAATTTGCGCTCAGAATTATCCAATTATTAAAAATACTATTAGAATGTTGCTCAGGTCGCAAATTTGTGTCTACCTTTTCAGAATTTGCCTTTGTCTTGAGATACTGTTGACCAATTACTTCCAGATAAACAAAATTCAAACAGAGATTCAAAACCATCAGTGGCCTGGCCAGAGAAAAGAGCGTAGGAAGTATTTTCAGTATTATTGCCCGCAACTCGCGCGCGATAGCGCGCGAGTGAAGGGCTTATAGTCTGCCCCGCGTATAAGTAGCATATGGAAGCTTCAGTTCATGTTGTCAGCACTTTTTCAGCAGATTTTGTCACTTTTCTGCTGCCATGACAACTGTCAATCAATTTCATTGTCAATCAATCGGCTTTGTCGAGGAGGTCGTTAACCGCCACCTCTTTGTGCGGAAGGGAATTATCTTCGGAGCGTTGCTCTGCCAAGACTCTGTTAAAGGCCTTCGGTTTTTTTGGCACGAAAACGGTGCTGCATCACAGCTCGGTTCTCCGCAATGGATGGAAGTTTTGATTCGAAGTTTTGGGAATCAAAACCAGTCGAATGCCACACTTTTCTCCCAAAAACTCGAGACCGTACGAGCAAAAGTTATGATTGTCGTGATTATCGAAAAATAAATGTCAAACCCTCGAAAAACTTCATGATTTTCAAAAGGGCGTTGGACTTAAATCAAAGGCAAACTGAAAACCAAAAATTCTTGATAAAAAGAATAGTTTAGCTTCAACTAGAGCAGCTGTTTTTATAAAATTGTGAAAACCCAAGATGGTGTCTTCTTCGAATATCCTGACCTACATTTTCAAAACAATCATTATCAAGGAACTAACTGTTTGCGGGCAGTACTAGCAAGAGCTATTTCTAGTTTTAGAGGGCAAATATAGTAATAATAAAGTTATTTTGAAGAAAAACTACCAAATACAACAAAAGGGGCCATGGCCATATCTTGTCTACCATTGAGTTGAGGCAGGTTACCACTCTAGTGCAACGTAATGAGGTGCTCGAAAACGTTTGACACTCACTAATGCTTTGAGCATTGAGAAATCCATTCAAACATCAAGAACTATTCTATCCACAAATAGATTTGAGATGGGATTTTTGTTACAAATAGAGATTCAGGATAAAATTTTAAGATGAATTCAATCCAACGAGTACTTACATTTCGCCCCGGCATACAGGGCTTCATCAGAGCAATTTGACCGACTGGAAGGAAAAAAAAGAATTTTAAATTAGAAGGAATTTGGAAGGATTTTCTAAGAAATTGAAAGGAAATTGTTGAAATGCGTTTTATTCAAAAACAGAGAATACAGAAAACCGTAAACTGTTTGGTAAATGTAAACAGCGTTATGTTGTTTTAGTTTAGTTGAATGGTTTCAATTTGCCTTTTGTCTGTAGCTATTCTGTAGACACCAACTTTAAATTAAGAATTGGAAGAAATGACAATGGATTCTCCTCAACATGCTTTTGGACAAGTGACATGACACGCTTTTGGCGCCAAATTTTTTTCTTTTAACTTAAAGTAAAATGCTGTATGGGAGTGTTGTTGAAATATTTTTCCTTTCTGATTTCATTTTCCTACTTAAAAACCCTTTTCAAATTATGGCGGGAAATGAATCACGTGACACCGTGACGTAGATTGTGATAATTTGTTATTGCTGCTACTGGTATACAGTGCAATATTAACGTTTACAAGGTACGTCATTGGGTCACGTGATAAAATGCAAAATCGCGCCCCCTGCGTCCCCTGATTAGAATTTTTGTTCTAAACCAGGACAAACTTACTTCTAAATGATGATCTATAAGTTAATGAAAAACAAGATAGGGTGAAAAGTGTGTTACTTGTCCTTTAATAACTTTCGTAGTTGTTATGACATTACTAAGAGCTGTTTTTAAATTTTTGAATTTAGATCACAGAACCTGAAAGATCTTTAAATGTGGCAACATGAGGACAAGCTCTGCCTCCGTCAAATCATAGTAATGTTGTCTCTGCTCTAAACTTTATGAACCATGCCAAAACAGCAGAAAAAATGTAGCAAAATTCCAAAATTTAATGATGTTGTTCATTAGGCATATCTCGCCCAGTTTGTAACATATTGAATTGACTTTGCATATCTAGAGGTATATATTCTAAGACGTAACATTTAAGAACGCTATTTTCGCTACTCACCAAAACTAAATGTCTCCAATTTTCTAAAATATTCGAAACTAAACAAGGGAAAAGCTCAAAAACAGATAAAATAAACTAATTTTTTCAAAGTTCGTGTGTTCAAGCAGGGCCTATTTTAGTGTGGTTTTTCCCACATTTTGTGGTCTTGGAAATCCAAAATGTGGTCTTGGAAATTCAAAATAGTGGAATCGGTTTTTCATTTTAGCTTTATTTTTGTTATAAATGTATTTTCTGTTGATAGAGTTTTGAAACTTGGTCCTTGGTCCAGATAAATCTGATCCAACAAGAGCGAAAAATGTTACAGCCAATCAGCTTTTTGCTCTCAAATGGTGTAAAAGCCAATCAGAGCTTGTGGAAGACCCCCGAATCTAGCGACAATAACAACAATGGCGGCCAGACAGCCGCTTTTTATCCTGCGCATTTTAGAATTACGCTGCTCTTATTAGAACCACCCGCTTTTTAAATTTTTTGGCTCAGCGTGTCCTGCAATATCAGGGACGTAAGCAAGTGGCTAATTTTGGGGGGTCGTGGAAGGTTGAAAAATCCAACTTTACCTCATGAATTTTTTCTTTCGACCTGTTAATCTTCTGTACCTACTAAATTGATTTGGAAATGGCCTCATTCCAGATTTTTAGATTCTGTATAATTACCAAAATTTTATTATAATGATTAGTCTTGAGCATAAAAACACTAAAGAAGATAAAGGAAATCTCTAAATTTTGATTAACGTAGCACGAACATTTAATCTTTTCGTAAGATATAAAGCAACATCAAAGTCAAGTAACAGCAATTCTGTTCATTTTCTGCTTTGCCCATTATAAAGCTATTTGCTGCAGTTCAGTTTTATATAAAATATCTTTTTAACAATATAGAAGCATCAAGGAATTGGAAAGGGCTAAATGTCCTTTGTTTTAATATGCAAGGGTTGTTCTATACCTACTTTCAGGAAAGATATAGTAGTAACGCCGTTAGGGGCTTGGGGCAAAGAACATCTGTCTTAAAATAGCTAAAGGGGACAATTTTCAATTGGGTTCCATATCCTATCTTTTTCAGCGTATCAAACTACACCTTTTTGCAAAATTTCATGCTGGTATCACAATTTGCAGAATTGTTTGACTAACAGCCCTGACAAAGTGGTATGGTGTGTTTACTGTGAAGACGGAACCAACTGCAAACCTTGTGACGTCACTGATTCTTATGCTTTGTCACTCGCACTCATTGTTTTTAAAACCCCAAAAAGAAACTTTCCCGTGCAAATTTTCTAGTTAATTTTCGTTTTATATTGCAACAACATGTAGAAGTTTCAATTTCTTACAAAAAACTACATGTGAAATTTCATTTCATAGGCACTTTAAAGGCCTCTCTCAAACTCACAATGTCTTGTTGCATCCGACCCCCGTCTATTGTGCTGCTTTTGTCAAGATGGATTCATTGCATTGCATACCTATTACGATCTCGTGGGCATAAAACGAGTACGTAACTCATTCAATTACCTCATTTAGAATTAGGAAACATCCGCTTTGCACTGGTGCGTATTGTGAGGGGCGGGATAGCAGAGCAGAGAGAGATAGATCACGATAGCATTGAAGTTTCTACAATGCGCTGCGGATAAAAAACGTGAAAGATGAAGACTCAACTCATATTCATACTATTTTTCCAAATTGGTTTCATCTATCCAGGTTCGTAGTAATTTTTTGTTGGTAGCCTGTTACATTCTTTCCATGAAGCACTAGATAAACTAGAATTTGAACATAGGCCTAAACATCTTCTTACTTCTCTCGGTAATTACCTTCAGGAGAGACTTCGGTGCTGTTATTCGCAGCATGGGCTTTATACTAGCTTCTTCCTATGTCACACTAAAATTGGCGCATTTCTGATAAGCCGCTGCTTCCTTAAATATCACCTATGCGAGAAACGGGAGGAATTTTGTATCCCGTATCTTGTTTATTAGCTGGATCAATGGTTTTTCGTGGTCTTTAAACAACAAAATTTGGTATTGTTTCGAAACTGACTTTTAAGAACGTTTCTTAAGCCTTTGAAAAGGAAATTTTTAAAACACGCCTTCTCCTCTTCCCCCAGACCGCCGATCCGCTGGAACTAGCTTCATTTGGGGGAAATTTGTCTAGAAAATAAGATGATCCAAGATAATTACAATAGAGTACCGAAGTGTGGCGTCATCAAAAATCTATTTTTAGAATTTCTTAAATTTGGCCACATAATCTGAAAGAACAGCATAAAATACCTCTCAATATGCAAAATTAGTTAGATATGTTCAAAAGTGGGCGAGATATGGCCAATGAAAGATTTCAAGTTTGCTAACGGATTACTGGGTACCCAGGGTACTGTTATTCTGGCCTGGTTCATAAAGTTATGAGCCAAGATCAAATTACAGAGGTTTGATGGGGCAAGAGCCTGTGCTCAAGTGGCCATATCTCAACCAATTCGTAATGCCTTTAACTGATTTTGCATATTAAGAGGTATTTTCTGATGCTCCTTTTTTGATTACCTATATACCAGTTTATTGGCGGTTCAATGAATACAAAATTCACAAGTAATACTAAGAATCTGTAAGGATTCTTACAGATACTCAGGTAGTCACTTAATTCTGCTCTTGTCCTCATCTACGGATGCCATGCCACTGATGTTCATTGTAAAGTACGACAGAAACACACCCAAGATAAAAAGTGCATTTTAAATATCATTCCAGCTAAGGCAATATTTATAAGTTCTTTGACCCATCCCCCCTTACTTCTATTTGATTTAAATAAATCAAGGAATTTTGTCGGAAAATTTTTCTTTCTGGCCCCCTCTAGAATTCATTCGCCACGACGCCTCTGGTTGTATTACAAAGGCACGGAAATCGCACCCATGCTACACCCTTCTTCTGGCACCTCTGAGATTCCCAAACCATCCCCCGCCTATTATGAAACTTAATTTTATTAGGTGCCTAAGAAGAGTATGAAGCAACATTTTCTCATGTTTGGCAATGCACGGACAAAAGAATCGATTGTTTGGTATTGGCTTTCTTCGTCAAAGAGAATATCTACAGAAAACGATGTTTTTATACGGTCGAATAATTTTATAACTATTGAGGTTATGTCAGATATTGCAACCAGCAGATTTATAGATCTTTTTTGTTTGAAGTTACCCTGGGTACCAGAGCCGCAAAAATATAACGGCAGCAAAAAAATATGAGAGCTCTGGTACCCAGGCAGGGTAGTTTGAAGTAAGCACAAACTGCATTACCGTAAATCTTCGAATAAATCCCCACGCTCGAATAAGCCCCCCTTCCACCTAAAAAATCATCTGAGGCTTATTCGAGAGAGGGGGCTTATTCGAGGGAAGCATAATTTCAGAATAATATCTTATTTCAAAAAAGCCCCCACAGGACAATAGCTATACAGTATTACTTCCTTTGACTAGAGACCAAAAAGCAAAAAAGCGACTTTTACGATGATAAAAAATTACAATAATTGTCAAATCTTCACACAGCACTTTGTAACTCTTTTAATGATATCAGAAATCATTATTGACTGTTAAGCTTCCTTTGCAAAAAAGCCTTTTTGTAATTTTTCAATTTATTTCATTGAGAAAATCATGTCATTTTTATGCCGACGTTTGAGGAAAATACTAAACTTTGAAATAAGCCGCCCTCGAATGAGCCCCCATCGAATAAGCCCCCATCGAATAAGCCCCCCAAAAAGATTCATTTTTGCAAATAAGCCCCCGGGGGCTTATTCGAGGATTTACGGTAATCATTTTATGGCAAACATATTTTAAGCTATTATAGGCTCACTGGTATTTTAAGCTATAATAGGCTCACTGGTTGAAAGAATGTGGATCCTAATATTCACATAAAACAATCAGCAATAATTGGTTTAGATAGAAATCAGAACAAAGGTAAAGACACAGATCACTGCATTACAAGAATGGCAACTCAAGATAGTTCTTTAGAGAGAAGGGGGAGTGGTTGGCAAGAAAATCGACATCTTGTGGCTAGTTGTTACTAGCAGCTTGTATTGAAGCGACGCCTAAACTGAAGATACAGGCCTAATATTGTTCCAATATGTTTTTTTCTAAGTTTTCCCATCTTCCACAAAGCTTTTTTTAGGGGCAGGAGTAGCACACAACACAATCTAACATATTCCCCTTCCCGTTCATTGATACTAAAAGAAGATTTTGCCCAAACTCAGAAAATCTGGAGGTTACTGACGCATCAAAATAAAATTAGGTGACCTGTCAATGTGTACATAGAATACTTGTAGTCTTATGATGTTATTGTAGGTTGTTATATTTTAACTACTTGCTGACGCGAACACCTGAGGCATTTCGGTGCAGAAGGGCCAAGCCCCTAAATTCGAACAATTGTTCCTAAAACAGCTGTTGCAGGTTATAGATGATTTTGTCGCGGCCATGCCCTTTAGATTAGCTTAGTATACATATCAGAGGATTTCTTGCAATTGTTTACAACGTTTAACCATTTGTCTAAAACCTCCCATGTTTTAAGAGACAAAAATGAAAATATCATCGTTAAATATCATCATCGTTTTTAAGACGTCCTAAATATGACAAGACCATTTTTACAAAAGAAAGAAAAGGATCAGCGCTAAAAGGATCCGCGCTAAAAGTCGTGCGGAAAATCATGCGGCTTATTTCCAAACAAGTGCTACCCTGGGTACCAGAGCCGCAAACGGCATTGTTTTTTTTGCCTCGCTTTTATTGCTGCGCTGCAGTTAAATTTTTGCGGCTCTGGTACCCAGGGTAAACAAGTGGGTGCTTGAGGATGGATCAGAATTGAACGCATAACTGTACCAATCTTTGTGCGGATTGACATGTATCCTGTTACCGGGCTCGTGATATCCACACGAATATTCGTCTATACAAGCATCGTAACGTTGAGCACGTAAAGCAGAAATCTCCAACGCAGTTCCTCGAACATTCTTACCTTTATTCTAAAGGGAGTCGTAAAATATCATAAGAATTGCTCAAGACCATGAATACACACGCCTCGAATTATGGCATTTGACTTTCCAAATCACTAACCGTGGATGATTTTTAGGCCTGCACAGCTGGTTACCTCCAATTATCTCGGCTTGGTCAATAGATTTCGAAAGAAATAGCAAACTTTAAAGCAACATCTATAATTTAGCTGCAATGGCTTCAATGTTGAAAACAAAAGTATTTTAATTTGATAACTTAGAAAGCCCGTGGGGTATGCCATTATTTTGCACTTTGTCAGATTAGTCGGGAAATATTTGGGAAACATTTGTGAAAACGTTCGGCCAGCACATGCCCATTTTTCTTTCGCTCTCCTTATGCTAAATAGAAATCTTTATGCTAAGGTAGCTGTTTTTATTAAAAAATCGTCTCTTTGCCCCAGTCTTCCAGAATTCGACCCCAATGATACCCTTTCATAGTTTTTCTTTCAATTGACAGGTAATAATTAAATTTAAATTATTTGATCATATAGTAAGTTGTGAAACTACTTGGAGAAACACAAAAATTTTGTAATTTTTATTCTAATTTTGACATATGTTTAATTTAAGTGCTATTTTTTATAATTTAGGTCTTCAAAGCAATCTGGCACCGTTTCTTGACACAACAAATGTTAACTATGCAATCATAGAACAGCAGATAACATCAGGCTCAGTACTGAAAAGTGTTCTTGCTAATGACCCCGAGAATGGCACTATGACATTTTCGATATTTGGCGTTACTTACTATGGAAATGACACAACTTCACCTACTGCAGCCTTTGATTTGTCTTGGGCTCTTACGAAAAGACCATTAACTAGTGTTACTCAGTGTAGTTTAGCGGAATCGTATCCTTTTCCAAGAAATCTTTTTTGTATGGAGCCAGGCAGCAATGCAATAAAGACGACAACCAAATACAACACTTTCCAGAAGAAGGACTTTTCCTTATTTGCAGTTACGGTGTTTGTAGCTGATAATGGTGTGCCTGTTCGGAATCTGACAACTGATTTCTATTTCCGTGTGAAGGAGATTTGTAATGACAGTACTAGAGAATACACGAATCTGATGCAGAACTGCCCAGATGCAAGAGAGAATATTATACGGGAAAGCATCCCCTCTGAAGTTGGCTTCATGTTCATTGTTCCAAATGATACGAAGATTTCCAGAATAACAATCGATTTTAAGAGGATGTTTCTTTACAAAGGAATAGCAGAGAGCATAAACTATTCGTTTCGTTATAATGATGGTGTTTCCAATCAGAACAGCGTTGTAGAGAGAAGACTTTTGGTCAATACAACGATCGAGCCATTGGTTAATATCTTCCTCTGGAAACCAATAAACATAAGTGCAAACAAGGCCAATGTGACTGTTCATCTTTCAATTTCGACCGGGAAGAGTGGCCAGTTGAGTGGAGGTGAAAAAGCAGTGACACTAACTCTTCTTGACAACAGCAAAAATTATTGTCAAAATGAAGAATGTGTACGTTTATATTCGGCTGTATCTGCTACATCGGCTAAGGCTGGTGGCAAACCCGAATGTGCCAGACAAGATCCTTCAGTTGTTATAACAAAATATGATTTGTGCAAAGGTTTGTGCAGTTATCGTATTTTTTCTTATGCTTAAGTCACTCGAAGGCCTCATCCTGGGGATCATTATCAATTTCTTACGCTGCAAATTCATTTTTTAAACCCTCTCACATTTATTTGCTTTTGTTCATTTTTTTACTGGCCCTTTCCTCCTCTGTTTTTTGTGCATTAGTTATTGGAATACCACCCCTCCTTTATATATCAAATTTGGTTTCCATTTGGAGGAGGAGGGCAAACATGAGACAATATCCTCAAGCACTTTCAAGAATTATCAAATAGTAAACCTTTCAGGGAGCATAAAATCAAAGATAATTAAAGCATTCAAATTTTGCAACCTTTATAACACAACTTTACATGGACAGTCTACCCCTCCGCTGATCAATTCGCCTTGTAGAAACCTGCCTTAAGGGTCTATGTTCTGCTTGCCTTTTTTCAGCGTCCAGAAGTGACCATAATGTCCTTTCTTTCTTATAGTTGTTAACAAAGCTCCTGTGTGGTTGAATTCCAACAACGATTTTACTGCTATTCCTAGAAGCTTGCGTCCGGGCACTGCAATTTTCTCTGTAAATGCTACGGACACAGTTCCCCAGAAGCTGTTCTACTCTATCATTGGAGTAACGTATTACGCCAATGAATCCGGTGTGCCAATCAAGGCGCGTAATCCTAGTTGGGCAGTTAAATCTGACAATTGGACTAACAACAGTACAAAGTGCAAACTGGCTGAGTCACTTCCATCCCCGAGAAATCTTTTTTGCATAGAACATAAAGAAAACACAATAAAGACAACAGGAGTTTACAACTCGTTGAACCCTCATTTTAATTCACTCATCGTCATTGAAATTGCAATTTTTGACGATGGTTCGCCTCAGCTAAGCACAAAGGGACTGATCTACCTACGCACTTTACCTTATTGTCCACAAATAAACCAAGCAATGTCAAAGTGTAAAGTAGGACTGGAGCAACTAACCTATCGATCTTTTTTGCAAACAGATACTTTTCTTGTGCAAAATTCAAAGTACGTCAGCTTACACAAGTTAAATTTGGATTTTGGCAGTCTCGTTCGCTTGCAAGTGAACGGCCCTGCTACTCTTGTCACAAAAATCACCAAATTTAACTCTACCAAGCTGCTGCTAGAGAAAAGACAGCATCTGCTGCAGAACACGATAAAAGAACGCCGTCTGCTTATTGATCTTGGTACCAATGTCATTGCCAATGGTTCATTTTATGTCTCATTTGAAGTGCTGCCTTTAGGGTCTACGACTGGTGCAATAAAATTAAAATCCAATTCCGAAGTGTCGCCTTTTACGATCTATGGACTTAGCATTAAACCCAGTTGCTTTGATGTTGAGTGCCGCGATTTTTACAGTTCTGTAAGAGCTACTCTTCGTAACCAGAATCAGATCGAGTGCCTTCAAAGCGATATTACATATTTACTTGATGCGAGATATGAGTCATGTGGCATTGGTAAGCTTACATTTTTTAATTTTCATATTGGTGAAATCAATATACAATGTCCTGGACCTTCTCTAGTAGTTACAAAGATGGAAACTAGCGCTGGACTTTGAATAATAATGATTTTGTGGTTGTTGTTTTTGCTTCTTTTATTGTTGCTGTTTATGTTGCTGGTTTTGTTGTTGTTGTTTTTGTTGTTTTTTAATTTACTTCCTGGAATAGTTTTCTTTGTTTTTGTATTCTTTTTCATGTTTCATTTGTTCTTTATTTGGACTTAGAAGACCTTTCATTTGTAATTTGTTTGTATTTTCGTTCATTCTTCATTTAAGTCTCAAATTCTCGGACATCCAGTACCAGCATGTACCAGTTTGTGTCGAATCTATGGCTATATTCTTCTATGCTTTTTCAATTACAGTTCCAAGTGGCAATGTGACAATCCGTACTGCTCAGCCACCGGGGAATTCACCAAACGGAACAGTTATTGCTACAATGAGGGCCTTAGGAAACAACGGTGTATTCTACTCTATAACAAAGGTTAGCATATGGCCTGATGATACGGGAGCTGATTACAGAAGTGCGAATTCATCGTCCTGGGTGATTAAAACGAAATCAGATGCTGAAAAACCTTGCTTCAAATCTGAGAGTTATCCATTCCCAAGAAACCTCTTCTGCGTTAACGCGACAGGTTTTGTGCTAACAACGTCTAAATTTGCTTATAGATTGAAAGCTATTCCCCAATTCAAGGTAAGTATTCTCGCCAGTGACAGCGAAGACCCAAAGAAGAATACTACAATGACATTGCTTTTGTTGGTAAATTATGACAAAGCTGCATGCGCTGCTTGGTCTGCAGATCTAATGACATTTTATGGGAACTGTGATGGATCTTTGAATGCTCCTATTATCCCAAGAAATACTTCCCTGCTTGAGTATAGGTTCACTGTTTCATCGACATCTCTTTTGGCTCAAATCGGTCTAGCATCAACTCTATTAGACAATGCCGAAGTTGGAAAAAAGATAACATTTAGAATTGCGAGAACTGGTCACAAGATTGCTAGTTTAACAAAAACTATGATATACCTACCGACATTCCCTAAAGAGAACTTTCACTTAAATTTCAGTTTTTATAACAGGCCTATGCTACTTACTAAAGGAGATGCAGTTACTGTTTTTCTTCAGCCACAGTTTTTACTAGCAGGGAGTTCTAATTTCGGAAATATGGTCATCAACTCTATACCAGTAAAAGATTATTGCCTTACTCGGTGTCTTGCAAATTATACGAGACTCTTGAATATCTTTGCTGGTTGGCGGCCTAGGTTCCCTTGCAGATCGTCCGATGACAAATTCTTCAGTGCAAAGTATGGCTTTTGTTCTGGTAAGCTTCATCTCTTCACCATGCTTACAGATGTGTTTGATTAATACTTCATCTAGAGATGGAGTTGCAGTAATATTACTCTGTGGCTGTCTAGTCACTTGATATTCTTGATAAACTTGTTCAGCCTCGTTACCATATATTCATAAAAGCCTGAAGGATCCTTACGATAGTGCTGCGTCCTGTCGATAACCAAAAATTGAAAACCCTCGTTTTACCTTGCTTGCAATTGAATGCAAATGAGTATAGCAAAACCGGAAACGTTCGATTGATATAATTTTTTCAGCTTTTACGGCATTGTCAACAATTTTTGTAATAGAATCGTTTAAGTGCAGCTGGTTGCGGCAATATCGAATGAGTTGAATTAAATTGATCTAGGTGCGTTCAAAAATTTGCTCTAATAAATCGGATTATGTAGCGTTCCTATGTATTTTACTTTGACCTTTATACTTCAAATAAGTCATTGTTACTAGTTTGCTTTTTGTAACTCAAACTTTTGAACAGGTTAATTTGAAAACCAGATATTATTCGCAAACTTTTTCAACCTGTATGAATGTTTTAAACCATGAAATGAAATGGCTGGCTGAACTGCATCCATTTTGTTTCATATTTTTTACATGACTTGGCTGTCTAATAGAATTCTCGGTTGGCGCCAAAGAAAAAAATCATAGGACTTTTAGGACTGCGATTAACTACAGTACTATGGGGACCTGTCTTTTAATTGGTGGAGAACACGATGCACCACTATTACAGCCATTTTTCCGGAAACCAGCCAATCGATAGGAGTTTGCCTGCTAAACTATCAACTCAACAATGTACAATCTGAAAATGCAGACATCTTTTTCTGTACTACCAAACTACAATCTAGGTTGGTGTAATCAGTTGGAACAAAAATGGCCCAAAGGTTTTAAAGGTTTCTCTCTGTTCCAACCATTTTTCAAAAACTTGCAAGACAAAGTTTTCGAAATACACTTTTTTATAAGGAATCGTTTAGAGCTTTCTTAAAACAAAAAATTCACGTTCAGTGTTACTTTCTTTGGTGGTAGTTTTGTCTAGGTACCCCTATTCCTTTTTGTAAATGCAAATTAAAGTCATCATAAGCATTACAGATGCTGTCATTCATCTTATCTCTGTTTAATTGCTTTTGATATGTTCAGTATAATTTGTCTTCGAATTGAATATGCTAATTGCACTAGTCTGCGGATGCTTACTGCTGCCTCTCAGAGCTTTTCAAAGTGCCATCAGTAAATGTTCTTTAAGGCTTTCTTCTTTTTTTTGTACAGCAAACGTCCCGCCATCGTTGACCGTATCAGGTTTGCAAGTAAAGATATCTACGCCACTTCCTGCTGGAAGTGTTATCGGGAAGTTACTTGGAACGGACAGGGAAGGCAAAGCCATGACTTACGGTGTTGCATGGGTGCATTCAGCTGTGCTCAAAAGCAATGGTACAGTTCAACCTCAGCAGTACACTGGACAGTCATGTACTGAAATGGAGAAATTTCAGGCTCCTCTTAATTATATCTGTATTGTTCAAAGTACTGGGGAGATAAAAACTACTTCAAAATTTGTCCATACATATGGAGAGGTTTTGACTGTAAAGGCCTATGTAGTTGACAGTGGAATTCCTAGGAGACTCGGCAGCACATTTTTCAATATAACTGTGCACGATCCTTGCGAGAGAGCTAAACGTCATTATGCAACACTGTCACAAAGTTGTGCGCTGGGCCCTGGAAATATTTTGTCAACCAGAAGTACAGGAACAAAGTTAGAATTTAATAGTGTGTATTTCGACAGAATTGTGTTTTTAGAAGTGGATACGAAGCAGTTGACCTTCCCAAATGAAACTCTACATACTGTATTTTCTATAAGACAGGTAACGTCGTTTGAGCCAATTTATTCGTATGGAGACATGGTAAATGTTACATTGAATAACACTGCTTTGAAAACAGATAGAAGCATAGTTCTTAGGCTTCCTCTTCAACTTTCACTGACTAACATCAAACGAGTCGAAGTGACAGCAACGGCCTATCTAAAAAGCCTTTCTTTGGGAGCAACAACAGCCACAACAATAACAACAACTGCCACCTTACCGTCGGTAATATCAACAGCTTCTTCTAACATGACAGGTGCCAGGGCAAGGAAGAGAAGACTAGCTTTGTCTGGAGAGACTGTAACATCGTCAACAAAATTTCAACAGCGTAGTATAATTTTGAATGGAGCCGGTGTGAGGCTGTACGTGCAGAGTTTGAAAGACAGCTGCGGCTCCTTGCATTGTGTCCAATTGTATCGGGCGTGGGACAATGCTGCAAAAGAGAGCAAGGTGGATTCATGCAAAGCAGATCAATTGCAGCTGCATCATTTATACAAGATTTGTTTAAGTAGGCATTTAATTTCTACCTTTTCCGTGTTTTGTTACAATTTACACCCTAGTATGAAACTATCTTATATATAATCAAGTCCAAAAAGTCAGAATGCGACAAAATGTAGTATTAGTCAGGTTGAGTAGCAGTGCGGGAAATTTGTAGAATCTTTAAGTTTGTATAAAAATAAGATTTGAAATACGCTCTTTTTTATAAGAACAATTTTACAAGAACAAAAGCCTCAAAATTGGTCGAAAGTTAAGAACAAATTAAGAACAAGCTGAGGCTGAGCTACTGTAAAATGGAATTTCCAACAACCTTGTATCTCAGAAACGAGGATTTTTAGCCATGTGTGGGTGCTTTTTTGGTGAATATTCAAACTTGTCGGCAAATGAAGGTTGTCTCACTCACTTTGTTGGCAAATGAGGCCAGAACACCTCCCTAAAGAGAAAAAGTCAGTAATCGCACTGCTTACACTCTATTAATTTAAGAACAAATTAAGAACAATCCAGCCTCAGATTTTCGAAAGAATCAAGAACAGTCAGCCTGAACTTAAATTTACTGGTTCTTATAAAAGAAGAGTGAAGCATGTTTGATATTTCCGATTTAATGATCCAATGTTGTCAATGATCCAAAGGACATCTGCCGATTCCTTGTTGGGTTAAATGAGATCTTTAGTTAGGGCAATCATATCAACTCGTTGTTTTCTTTCCTTCACAGATCCTCCGGTTTTCCAATCTCATCCACAAAACTTGAGCTTAAATTTTTCGTCGCTGATCTCATTGTCATGCAGCTTCCGCAACTACACCAATGTCACATTCCAGTGGGTGAAAGATGGACAGCTGTTTAGGCCACCATCTTTGCCATCATCTTTACCTGTTAGAGAGTTGTCATTTGCTGAGCAGACGATTTCGCAGACATCTATTGTTAGTAAAGCCGAGAACCTTCGGTTTGCTGGATCGAATCCTGAGTTTCAAGGATATTACTCCTGTAGAGTCACGGATGGATTAAACCATACAGTTGAATCAAAGCCTTCTTTGATACACTTCAGTGGTACGAGTAGCTTACCATTCTATGAAAAAACGGAAGCACATTCATGCTTTGACACTTTTGCTTTTCTTTTCTCATACTTTTCTCAAAGGATACGTGTACGACCAAAGCGACGGGGCGAGCGCTCTCTGCCCCTGCCTAGTGGGGAAAGGTAGGACAGGAAGTGCGACCTATCAGAAAACTTGGGTATAGCTGTTAATATACAATCTTGGCCACAGTTTCGGGTAATGGGCGTAGCCAAGGAAATAATTTGAGACCACAAGAATCTCTCCATCTGTGAATTTACAATACTTCTATTTTATGCAAATGTTTAAAATCATGACTTGCCCCTACCCAGTGTATTTTCACGAGCTTGCAGAAGAATAATGTGGACCAAGTTTTGACAAAAGGGAGGGGAAGGGGTTATAATTGCTATTGGGAGCCCATGTGTTTTAATAACAGAGATACCGAAACTGAAATGAAGGGGCAAACCTCAATCCCGTCTATCCAGGATTGTAGCGTTATTCTGCTTTGCCACGGAGCTCTTTTTCTTTCTCTTTTTGCAAGGGTATTGGTTTTATCTCGTTATGGTTGAAATTAAGCAAACGTTCTTCGCTGTAATATTTTGACAAAGGGAAACGTCACCTGCTAGTTTTCAGCTTCCTGTCAAATGTTAAAGATTTTCTCTTCTTTCAGATATTTCATCGACAAGAATGACATTGAAATTAAAACGGACTTTCACCGATTCATTGAAAAACGCGAAGTCAGACGATTATGCCCAGCTTTCAGGTTCCGTTCAACGAGCAGTAAGTTAGAAACGTATATTGAAGAATTTGATATCGATTCACCATATATTTGTACTCCATATTATCCCGTGTATGGTCTTCGGTGCTGGGTTACCCTATTTTGCAATCTGTTTTAATATGGCCACCCATAAAGCTATGTCACTCTCATTTCTATTTTCCTTACTGTAATTTTGCTTCCCAGTTTTTTCATAACTTTTGCCTTCTAATGCTTAGGGGAGAGTAAACAAATCGTTTATCTTAGAGGTGCTTTTAGCTCTTTTTCATTCTCTTTTTGCAAGGATATTGATTTTATTTTGTAATGTTTGTTATTATCATCATTATTAAGGTTATGACGTATTTTTCTATTCATTTTTTGATAAGACCTGTTTAACTTGATCAAGAAATCTCCAGTTAGACGTGTTCCCTACCTCTTTTACCCTATACGTGTCCTTTTTGCAAGATACAGCCATGTTGCAGTTATAGAATACATGTAATTTATCAGAAGTAACAAAAGCAATTCCTGTCCCCACCCCCTTCTGATATGATTGCTTTTGTTTTTTTTCTTTGTTAATGCGTTACCTTTTGAGTTTTGTTAATTTCAGCTCCATGCACTATTCGACAAAAGCGGGATGCACAAGGAAAGACGAATTGTAATCAAAGGTTTTCGGTAAGACCAACGTCTGTTGTTTCATTTAGCTTTATACAGATTTATCAAGGCTCGAAATACGGCAGGAAATATTCCTAATTTCTTGCTAGCAATGTTTATCTAATAGTAATATAGAATTTTCTGGCATTTTGAACAGACCCGGAAGCGTAATAGTGGACACAAACGTGTATTTCATGAATGTCACAAAGACGAGCAGAGGAGATCTATGCCCACAGCTTCAGAATTTCACTTCAGGTGGTGTCAGCTCCGGTTTAGAGATATCGTCAATCGAGCCTGTATCTTATGGTATGTATTGCTTCATCAACTGTTGTTATATAACTTTGTTTACACAGTTTATATAAAATCACAACACAGTTTAGACTGTTCAAAGGGATGTTTTAAGCTTTAGAATATTCCCGGGCATAATTCAACAAAGCCGGGAAATGTAAACTATTTTGAGACGTTTAAAAAGCACGTTTTTTATCATAGCACAGGCCAGAACATCACGTTACAGAGCTATATGCTGTTTTTTTAAATTCTCTCAACTTAACCAGAATGATATTTCAACTATATTCTAAATCTATAGGAAAATAACTCATATGAAGATAGTTTCTTCATTTCATCCTCACTCATAGCATATTAGAGCCTGGAGCTACCAGGAAAACCTCTAATGCTTAGCTAACATTAAACTTCTATGCATGTTAGTTGAATCTGTTAGGTCGCACCCCGGATAACTCGGACTTTCACTAAGTCAGACCGACCATCCTAATCAAATGCCGTACACCGGACAAGCCGGGCATTCACTAAGACAGACCAATCATCCTTATCAAATGCCGTACACCGGACAAGTCGGGCATTATCTAAGTCAGACCGATCATCCAAATCAAATGCCGTACACCGGACAATTCGGGCATTATCTAAGTCAGACCGGTCATCCTAATCAAATGCCGTACACCGGACTAAGTCAGACCATTTTCTTACCTCATGATGGTCCGACTTAACTAGATTCAACAGCATTTTCTTCTCTCTCTTTGCTTTTCGATTGTTTTTTAAAAGAATTTTCACTACAACTGAAAAACCTTTAACGTTTGACAAGCTATTTTGCAACTTCTAGGGAAGATATCTGTACCTGAATTTCTATCTAAGAGTTTAATTCCTCTCCAGATTGCTGCTACGCAAGCCCGACTGGAGAAGTAAACATCAAAGGGGTAATTTATTGGAATACAACTATTGCAAATGAATTTGATAACAAAGGATGTCCGTATCCATTTCCTACGTCATCAGGAAACGTAACTGCTCATGGGCATGCATGGAGATTTTGTTTACCAAACTTTCGCACTGGTGCTGAATGGGAGATGCCTAACACAACTGACTGTGCCTACAAGACACTAACTACTTTTAAACTGGAGAATATTTCAAGAGTAAGTCCCCGTTATATATTCTCAAACGAATGACCATTTGCATGATACAGGAAGAATCATATGCGTAGTTCTACAAAATAGCCTTTCCACGGGGATTTTTGATTTGGAACTGAAAATGCGCTTGAATACCTTAATATGGATCGCAGAACTTTTGGTTAACTAATGTAAGAGCCACTGTAAGAACGATCTGTATTTCAATGCTATGTAAAGCACCAAGAAGATTATCAGCCCCAATCCCACCTCAGGGTCTCGATTCATTTATATTTGTTACTAAGCTGCGATTCGCAATCCTCCAATAAGCGTAGATTTATAGGAGGGGCGTAGATTCATAGGAAGGATGTAGATTCATAGGAGAGGCGAGAACTTTGGATTTTCCGACAAAAATTTTATAAAAGCTTTTTTTTCAAAAATTTCGACATAACGTCATGCAAATCACGTGTCATAGATCATACTGCTCGAAGATTTTTCTTGTCTTTGCCTCTGAAAAAGGCATTTTTGAGTTCTATACCTTATAGAACACATCAACATATTCAGCTTTAAAATATTTTCTCTCAAATGACAACCATGTTAAATTTCCGACAAGATCGGAAGTTTTCCGACAAAACACCAGTTTAGCGTTACGCGGGGGTTGTTCGCCCCTCTGACCCTCTTTGGTCTACGCCTCTGATGCTGGTGGTCAGCATGTCTTGGCCCCACTTTGTTCTTTGCAACTTTACGAATATCCAAAGATCAGGGACCATAGGAGCGTGGGGAGCTCTGTACGAAGCAAAATTAGTTTTTAATTGTTTCAAGTACACTTATGTTTTCTATCAAATTTATGCTGTATTTACATCATGACATTTTTCCAGATAAACATTACAGATGGCAATGCTGAAGCTGTTTCATGGGAGCTAAATTCACTCACAGACTCAAACAATGACATCACAAATCGCCTTGATGTCAAGTTTACTGCTGACACGATTCATAACTTGGTTTTCAGTAAAAAACAATTACCTAAGGTGAGGTCAATTATAATTTTGATTAACACATCAAGGTCAAGGGTGTCAAAAGTAAAGATTCTATGTTGCAGTTTCGTAGACGTTTTCTTTGACGCAAAAACCTTTCAATCTTAATTGTGGTGTTTTTCTGAACGTTTGACACAAGGATTGGATCCACAGGGGATCCATGGGTCATAGCCCTAAATGCAATACAAAACAATTTTACCACGAGATTTTGCCAATTATGTGGCAAAATTCGCGGCCATTTTGATTGTGACCTCTCCAACTGAACTCTCCGATTTGCCTTTGATCTTTGAATTTCACCGAATATTGAAGTAGACACAGACCAACTTACTCTTTTATTCGTAGACAGATCATGGTTTTTGTCAATTCAAGCCTTATAGTTTTTGGTTCCGTTCTTCCTTTTCAAGCTTGTTAACCTCGTTATTTGCAGATTACGAATAACATTGTCAATGCAACAAGCAACATGATGGACTTCAATAAAACATACGTTGTCGAATCGCAGCTGCAATATAAGTCTTCCTCTCGGTATGAAGTGAAACTGATGCATTCAGTGACCAAGTAGTTTATTGACAGCTTCCTATTGATTATTCTTTACCAATTAGAACCGTGTGCTTATTAATAATGTCCAAAAATGAGTTCAAGCTAACCTTTCTAGCAATCACATTATATAGGGTCTTTTGTCAATTGCTAGATGCAAATGTTAGCGATCATGAAGTATAGTTCATTATCAATGTACATCACCTTGCTAAAGTTATCATACAATCTAAGTAAGTAACATGATCAATCAATCAATCAATCAATCAATCAATCAATCAATCAAAAACTTTATTAATATGTCAAAAAATATTTAGCTTGCAAGCTAATTGGGGACGTTGGGGACATAACAGTATTTTTAAGAATATTTCTATTCTTGAAAACAGGATATGCCTATAATCAGCAGAGGTTTTAGGGACTGCGAAGCCCGGGGCCAAAAACATCTGCGGGGCCCTTGTTCTTTACCATTTCTATCTTTTTTCTTAGGTGTGGGGCCCCTTTTGGCTACAATAAGCGCGGGGCACAGAACCACGGCCCACCTGGATCCCCCTTAAAACCACCACTGCCTATAATCCCTGTCTTCTTCGTTTATAGAGTGCTCGATTCTTTGGAAAATCTTGCAAACGATATTCCAGTTACAAGCAACGCTTCTGTTCGTGCTGTAAGCAAAAACATTGCATTGACAGTGCAACTCATCTCCCAGCTCAAAACTGACGTGATAATCAATGCTGGGCGTAGTCGTGTGTCTAAGTACAATGAGGTGAACATACAGAGAGACAGGGCTAAAGGTTCATATATTGTGACGTCAGCCGAGATCGTCCTACCCAAAGCAATGTTACAGAAGGCAGCAATATTGAAACCGGGAGTCAACAAACGCGTTTACAGCTTCTTGTACGACAATGATATTTTGTTTCTATCTAAAGCATCGCTCCAGGCCCTTGGTCAGAAGAACTTAACTAGAAAAGTAAACAGCCGCGTTCTCTCAGCCTCTATTGGAAATATAAAGTTAAGAAACCTTAGCTATGATGAAGAAATGAGAGGTCTGTTTACGCCTCTCTCGGGTCAGACTGGCAAGACTGTTTGCGTATTCTGGGATGCGAAATTTCAAGGTAAATGTTTGTTAATAATTGCAGTTAATGTAGTAGCACATGTTTACAATGTTACTGAAGCGGATCTGCAACATATGATGTATCAGTGCTGTCATACGTGCAGAGCAAATAAATAACAATTATCAATTTAACCGCTAGACCAAAAACTATATGCTTTTTTATTTCGATTTCTAATAGATTGCTATTTTTGCTGATTTACTTCGCATTTTGGTCATAAGAGAAACCTTTGAGAGTTGTTTACCTCACGAGATTTATTTGAGTTGATACATATATTCTGCTTCGCAATCACAAAACCCGCTCCAGTTTGAAACGTTGATTGAACTTGGTAACTTGCAATCAAGAATCCACTGACCACTGGCTAACTCGGCCATGGTACACTGCAATACGCACATGTATGTTTTCTTTGCCAATAACCAAATAAACAGCCATACATATGTTTATTGAAAAAAAATTGCTTCGGTGTATTTGGTTGTCAAGCAGCTCAACGTTTTCAGCCAAATTTGATCATAAGGCCTGTCTCTTTATACCCACTACAGATCTATGACATCTTTACGACAAAACTTTTGCTGTTTTAGATGGATTTGGTGCCTGGTCTCCTAATGGCTGCAGGCATGATGGAGTTGAGAATTCTATGGACAAGTGTCGTTGCAATCACCTTACAAATTTTGCCATCCTTCTCGATGTCACTGGGAAAGGCACTCCAAGTGAAGCAGCCCTCGCCCTCAGCATCATCTCCTACATTGGCTGTGCAATTTCCTTGGTCTTCTTGCTGATTACATTTGTAACATTCGCCATTTTCAAGTAAGGTTCATTCTAGACATTTTAGTGGCAGTGCAAGAAATGGAAATGATGTTGATTCAGATTTTTTAAACATATATTGTTTATTTCTGAAGGACCTAGCTATGGAGATTTCAAGTATTGCAGTATAGTTTTGGACTGTGTGGTATTTTCTGTCAAATGATAACGGAGCAATCCTGTTAGACAGGGATTTTTGCATAACTTTCTAGCAACCTGCCTAACCGATATATTTAAATTTTTTGTCAAAAAGGCCACTGATCATTTTAAGCCTTTGAAATATTCTGGCAAATGACCTGAAGTCACGTTTCAGGAGGCGTGATTAAAAGTCAATAATGCACGGCCAGCCATTTTTCGATCTTCAAACTTTTCAAATCTGATGAAAACCGTCAGAAAGTGCTTGCAAAACTGATTAAAAAAGAAGCAAGCATCAATGTGATCTGACCTACAAGCAAAGAGTTAAGGCTGTTGAACCTTTCCTTTTTGTCACTGAAACTTGCTTCTCCGACGTTTAATGATAATGCAGTTGCTTAACAGTTGGGTTGTGCATTTCATGATAAAACCATGACGTTCGACACAACTAGACAATCCGATATGCTGAATACGATTTGATGCATATTTGGCTTTCGAAACAACCCCAAAAGCAATTTTTGGACTGGGGTACCTGTACCCTGTCAACTGTTTGATATTGCATTAAAATTTATAACATTCATATTTATATATTTATGCAAAAAATATTTATTGACTTTCTCTTGCTTTGTAGGAAACTTCGTTCAAAGAGACCCCCGAGGATTCTAATGTGTCTTTGTGTGGCCCTGATGCTTACTTTGATCATTTTCTTGGCTGGAATATCGGCTAAAGATCTAAAAGGCTGTCAGACAGTCGCTCTCCTTATTCACTTCTTTGTTTTGGCATCATTCATGTGGATGGCAGTGGAGGGTTTTAATCTTTATCTCAGCTTTGTAAAAATTGTTCCCAGCAGCATACCTTATTTCATCGTGAAGGCAAGCCTATTTGCATGGGGTATGTGCTCTTCGGAGTATTGTTGTTTTTATTCTTGAAAACCTTTGTGCCTTTCTTCGGCAGTTGCTTTAGTTTAATACAAAACTACTGTGTCTTATTATTTTTTTTGGCTTTTTATAAAAATGTCACAATATCAAGTTGATTTTTGAAGTCTTTGCCTGCGCTGCATTTTTGATCGCATTTTTTATTTAAGGACTACCATTAGCAATAGTGGTGATTACTGCTGGGAGTACGAAACTAGATGCGTACGGAAAGAAGAATGGGGACGAGTGGCTGTAAGTCATTAATTGTTTTATATAGTTATGAAAACTTTTTCTACTCGTATTCAGTTTTCAAATGAAAACCAATCGCTTCAAAATATTCGAGAAACTAGGTGAGAAACTTTGATGTGATGATTTAAACTTGAACACAGCTTTACGATAATTTCGTAAATGATTTGTGTCCGTCTTTTGACTTCTGTTTTATATCTCCAGCTGACTTACCGTTAGCAGGTTTTTATTGCAGGAGATAGAAAACTAATTTTTAATTCATTTTGCGGCCCAAAGATTCTAGAAGTTTCACTAATATGAGCTTTTCATGCTTTGCTGTTATTAGTTATATCTTTTTACATTCATATCCCAATATCTGCTCGAATTTTCTATTGTCATTCTTCTCAAGGTGTATGGTGACTGGAACTGCGTTTTACGCCAGCTACCTGGCTCCAATAATCTTGATTGTTGTTGGTAACCTCGTTGTGATGGTATTCCTAATCAAGTCACTTCGCGCCAGCTCACGTGTTAGCAAGGATCGGAAAATGACCGACATTGCAATGGCGCGAATAATCGCTGCTTGCTCCGTGCTTATGGGCAGTACGTGGATTATAGGCTTGTTTGCTGTGGATGTGCTAACAATTCCAATTCAAATCATATTTTGCATTTTAAACTCCCTGCAAGGCTTCTTCATTTTCATTTTCTATTGTCTGCGCAACAAAGATGCCCGCAATGAATGGAGAAATGTTTTTGGATGTCGTTCCAAGGACGATGCAAAATCAAGTTCAACTGGTGGATATCAAAAACAAAAGACTCCCGTTTCAACAGCTTCTATTGATTCGCGTAAAGGATTGGTCGCTAAAACTGGTCATTATGAGTTAAGAGAGAGGGATATCAAAAGCGATACTATGACGACATCTGTACGAGATAGCGTTGCTGATGAAAAATCGGCGACATTGAAAAGCTTTGCACCGGCCTTGAATGGCAATAACGAAGACAAAAACCTTCAAGAAACAGATTCGCAATGTGTACAAATGAATTTTGATATTGAGCCTGTTGAAATAACAATTCATCTAGAACCTCCAAAGTAAACGCATGGTAATTGGTCATACATTGGGCTTCCTATTCTAAACTTTTAAGATATTTAAACATGTACGAATTTCAATTTTAGTATCGATAATCGCAAAATGAACACACAATTATTTTGGTTCGGATAATTTTCTTTCGGTTTTGTAAAGAGGATTTGTTTGAAATCTGTACCAAAATGTATGCAAATCCCAAAATTATTTTAAAGTCTATTCAAAACTTTCAAAATATCCAGGTATGAAAAATCTATTTCAAATCATATCTTCCGAGAAAACGGCAGTCATACTGAATAATTCACTTCATTTTAGGGATGATTAAAGGCATGAAAGTATATAGTTACGGATTATTTTTGCAACATTTTATCGAACCGCTTTTAGGTACAGAGTTTGCATACCAGCATGGTCAGGATAAATTGTTTTCAGCGCCTAAGTAACATTGGCAGAAAAAACGGATTTGATCAACGTCTTGTATTATAGCAACCGAAAATAAGATATTTAAATCCCGTCTCCAAAGACATTTAAAGTAAAGAAAGCGAAAACCCTCTTTGAGTTTAAGTGTCACTCAAACACTTCGTCTTTGGGATAAAGTGTCACTTATATCTTTACGTAAATAAAGTAGTACGTTAAGAAAATTGATGTCAGTTATTCTAAATTCAATGGCAAAATCAAAGCTATTTTGGAAATGCCCAGTCCCTTGGAAAAGCTAAGTACCTTGAACCGGTCCAGTTTTTAGAAACTATAGGCTGATCTTTTAGTGATTGTTTACTTTCATACAGCTTTTCAAGTTAATCTTAGGTACAAGCACACAAATTCATTCATAAACTTGTACAACGTATATAGTTATTTATGCTGTAGAAATCCAATCAAGTAAGCCATTTGGCATCGTCCAGTTTCGTTATTAATTGAAACTGAATTTATTCGCTGATTTATTCGATATTTTGGAGATTTGAGAATTTGAAACGTGTAGGATGGTCCTCCTAATGTCATAATCTTAATGCATTAGAAGCAATTTTGAAAGCTACATGAAATCTACAGCCTCTGTCAGTGTCTCGTTGGTTCCTTTTGCAAACCCTAGTCATATCCAGTCAAATTTATCATGACTTCCTTTCTCCATACGAATCATCAGTAAATGTCATACGCTACGCAAAGTTGTTTTCTCCCTGTATTACAAAGCTGAACGATTCCAGATACGTATTTAACGAAAACAGCAAAAGTTTTACGTCTATCACACTCACCTCGGGCATTTTTTAGCTCGAAATATATTTGTCAACTGGGAAATTTAACTGGAAAAATCTTGAAGTTGGACACGTAAGGTTAAGGAAAACAAGATTCTGGTCCCTCGCAGTGTTGCAGTGGACGTTATTGACTGGGTTGCAGTTAAAGACTCATTGCTAATAATGGGCCATTGCGAGCGTGGCGACGATCCAAACAATGGCAGTAAACTTCTACGGATTAACCAAAATTGATTTCAGACTGTCTAAAAATGCATTATGGGATACTTTCGTAGCGCAATGGCTCATTGTTAGCAATGAGTCTTTAAGAGTAGGCATCTGCTTTTGCAACCGTTGCAGGATTAGTGCTTCAGCGTTGATTGAAGATGGAATTGCTATTTCAACGAAGCTGAATTTTCTATGTTGTTTGGTCAGTCACTGTACAGTTTCCAGTCACAGGAAATTGCATTAGGATGTACAGGTTCGGAGAAAGAAGAAAAAAATTAAAGTCGTAAACCACCTAGACTCTAACATTGTAAATCGATCAAACAGAAACTTTTACGGGGCGTGCGTTTTTCGTTATCCTTGAAAAGCTTCTTGCCAACGTTGGAGAAAGCGGCGGCGTAATGACTAGTAAAGAAAAAAGGCTGATCAATGACAAAGCAAAAAGTATTTGGAAATTTTGCGGTCCTAATTTCACTTATCCTAATATAAACCTTGGCAAACTTTACAAGCAATAGTGAAAAAATGAATTTCGTTCCTTCCCAACTTTTTATCAATAGCATTTCATCACCTTCATAATTTATCTGGCGCTCTCGAACCCGAGACGACAGTTAGCGAACACTCTCTGTTGCTCATCAATATACCCACTTCCGCGAATCCGAGGCTGAGTCCGGGATCTTCTGAAAGGACGGTAGCGTAGTTCTGTCTGCGCGTTCTTTTATTTTTGTCTCGGATCCCTGGAAGATCATCATAGAGTGATTCGTTTATGATGTGTTGCCTCCAGTTGATTTTGAGCGTGTGCAACAGCAGGCGTTTTAATGAGCCATTGACTTCTTCATTCAGTTTTTTTGTCAAAGTCCATGTGTGAGCGCCGTAAAGTAGGGTGCTATTTATCTTAAGCTTACGAGGAAGACTTGATTTCCAGAGGTTGTCTAGTTTGCGTATTGCTGGCTTTTGCCTATTTTATTTTGATGCCTTCCTCCTATTTTATTTGGTTCTCTCCTCGGTTACTGTAGAGAAATTTATGGGAAAATGGGAAATTTTTTTGCTGTTTCGAATCATGACCTTGCACAAGACGATGGCCAAGGCTACGTATTGGGTCATACATCTCGATTTATGAGGTTCGTTTTATTTTCAAAATTCATTATATGCAAATTCAACTAGATTTATACCCTGGGTACCAGGGCCAACAATTTCGAGCCAGGATATAGGAGATAGAAGCGGAGGAGCACCGCTTGGTTTATAATTTCCGCACAAAAAATTTTATGGCTCTGGTATCCAGGGTACTAGATTTACTACTACACTAAAAAATAACTACATTGCGCAAAGATACATGTTTTTTTTAATAAATTCGATGAAATACAAATTTAACAACATTAGATATTTAAGCAAGATTGTATACAGGGAATCGGTAGACTAATCGGCGAGAAAGCACTTCTTTAGTTAAAAATTATGATTTTGCAAAGTTGCAGTGCTCTTTTTTTGTTAAGACTTTCGACTATCTTTCGCTGGTTCTACGGATAGTTGTCGGTGTCCAAGAGAAAAGCCAAGAAAAAGAGTCCCTTTAGCGCTCAGCAATCTCTATTCATCACATAATTCTCGTTTCTCTAGGCTTGAATACGAATACTACTGGTAATTTCACATGTTTTTATATGTTCCAACAAGGAATTACCGAAATATCAACCAATAACAAGCGTTCTTACAATTTACGTAAATTTGCCATGTGAATACTTATAACAATCACAGGTTGGATAATTATTAACTGCCCTCATTTTCACGAGGAGGAATTTGCGTATAAACGTTAACTAAACAATACATACTGCTTAAAACAGCAATGATTCATTCCTATTTAAGCATTTGATAGTGCAAGCATATAACCACGTACTGTGGAATCTACGTAAACATGACTAACACAGAACCATGCTGCAAAGCAAGGGTTACTAAATGGATAAGAGGGCTGGGAAAATCCACATTTTTGCAGTTTTCGACTTTTGTTAGAGAATGCAGAAAAGAGGAAGATGATTCAAGTTTGAGAGAACACAGCTTGCTACCAATGTATGGAGTTTGAGGTTCAATAGTTAGAGAATTATTAGAGGGGTGGGGAGCTTATGAAATAATCCTACAAGTTGTCATACAAATACATGCTCGTTTCAGAGTTTTTTCATGATTTTCATGCTCACTTCAATTGCACTCTTACTTTTCTAAGATATTATACGAAAGTATAAATCAAAGCTCTTAAAAGTATTTTAGACCAATAAATTGATATCTACATTGTCTTTGTTGGTCTCTTGAACTTTGGTGGGTTATCATTCTTGGACTAAAATGGTGTATCTTTTTGTTTTACCACGAGTAAGCCCCATGGCTTATTTAAATGCAAAAATTGGCATTTTACGGTGCGGGCTTATTCGAGGGTTGGGGTAAATTTAAAATTTTTACTTCCAGTGTGGGAGCTTATTCGAGGGAGTTTATAGGACAGGGGATTTACATTTTTCTTACAGACTTTTCTCTTGTTCTTTAGTTTTGATCTTACATCACATTGTTTACAGAACATTTCAAACTGCTTAATTTCAATATTAGAATCATATTGGTCTAAATGCTTATAGAAAGAGTCAAAGCATGCTTTAGTCATTGGGTGGGAAACGGAATTCTTTCCGCATGGGAGGAGGAATGTTGACTTAAACCACCCTCTTGAGGGCGCTTGAAAAAAGTAGTTGTTTTATTTATCTGGTTAAAGAGCTGTTGCGATCGTCTTTTTCCTGTTGGCTGAAGCACGGTTTACACATGCAACTTTTCATATGCAACTTGTCGCACAAACATGATGAGACTGAAAAGTTTCACGTGTAAACGAACGTGCGACTTACTGCAACTTTCATTTTGCAACCTACTGCAACTTGCGACTCACTCAGGATCAAAATCCTATTTTCAGGTGAAGCTGCATTAGGTTGCAGTAGTGTGGTGGAATTGCGATTTTACCCGGACAAAAGTAATAAAAAGCTGTAATTTGGCACATAGGTTCCATACGATACTCGGAATAACCAGAAAACAAGCCCCATCAATTGGACATTGGGAATTCCTTATTTGGGCAAATCCCATATGGCGCACTGATCAGCAGGGGTTCAAATTTGATGTCGCTAAAACCACATTATATGTACATATTCTGAAAGACGGTTTTATGCTGAACAACTTTTATTCAACATACATGCCCTTCAATGTGGAAATAAGTACTTCTGGTCAAAAATAGCAGATAGGGGGCAACTGGGCAATAGAAGTATACAGTGGTGGCGCCAGGTGAGGGCTAAGGCGCTACAGTCCCTCCATCGAAAGCATCTAGCCCCCCTAACGGAAGAAAATTTTAGGTTATTGTCGGAGCAAATTTGACAAAATAACGTACGAAAACTGCATATTATAGTCAATTTAGCCCCCTCTGTTGGAAGCTCCAACCCCTCTGTCGGAAGATTTCTGGCGCCACCTCTGAATGTATGTAAGTTTATTTATGAACAACTTATATATTAACAAGATAAAAAAATGCGATGATGAAATCCTATCCAACAAGGAGCAGGTTAAGAATCCCGCTAAACATTTTGAAATTTCTGCGATCCGTGGATTATTTTGAGAAAATCTGCGTCTGGCAAGTGTGTAGAATTCCCTCGTTCCTTTGAGAAATTGCCAGATTTCCGCAATCTACGACAAATTTCCGACAAAGTTATTGCGCCTGGCGATCCACTGCGTCATCCAAAGTCTTATTTTCTTTGCTTCCGTCTAAATTGTCGTGTCATTTGTGCAGCAGAATCGATAACATTGAAGCTGCTACACAGCCAGCTTCTGCTTCCATTTTGTTTGATTTTTTATTGGGTCTCCAGGATTCCCCCAAAAAGTACTGCAACTTGTTGCGCGTTTTTGTAACCGGATCATCGCTGGAGGATGTGTAAACAGCACAAGTACTTTGCACAGCAAGCACAGCAACCAGCAACTTGATGCAACCAAGCGTAAACTAGCCTTTATAAGAGTGCCCGGCAGGGTTGTTTGAAATGTTGATGTTAACTTAGGTTTCCAGAGGTTACCCCCGGTGGCAACTGGCAACCCTCTTCATTCAAAAATGAAAGGAGACAGTCAATTACCCAGGCTCTCCAAAGGTTTGTTAACAGATAGAATCCGGGGTCCGTTTATTTTGCAGCTTTGAAACACCCCCTCTTGAAGGCCAAAAAGGAAGTTGATTTTCAAAGTAAAAGTGAATGTATCAGAATCGAATGAAAGTTTCAAACAAAATAATCAAGGTTTTTCATGGGCTCCGACAAAGGTTGACAAGTGGGGGGGCCAAGGGAAAATTTAACACCCATAATAAAAGAATTTGAAAAAACTCTATTGTTTTGCAAAAATGTGAGGGTGCCAAGGCCACCCCGGCCCCCCCCCCCCTTCGTTGGAGGCCCTGTTTTTGCTACACTATCATTTCCTGGTCTGATTGGTTTGTCGGCCGTTAGCGTTAACGGGGTGCAAAATTTTGCACATTCCATTCCATCAATTTATTCTAACTACAACAGGCGTGGCAATTATAGCTTGAAAGTGAGGTCATTGGATACGACAATCTAATTGGCTGTTTAACAAAAAGTTAAACACGTGATCTGTCTCTGTTTCAAGCTCAGACTTGAGAATCGAATTCTGCTGCGGCAAGGCCTCTTGCTCAAGGTCTGTAGAGCGAAGAAGGGCCTGAATAGGGTTTATGAAAGTGGCCGAAATTTGGCAATAAAACACAACAGAGTGATTGGAATACGTGGTTAAAAATCTGCAGACATGGCACAGTTGTTGCCAATACGATTTCAGGAGCATGTACAGGTATGTTTTGTAGTTTTATTCGAGTTGTGCCATGGAGGTTTAACGAAACGTTGCGTGGCATGTGACCAGATTAGGCTAGTCCATCTCAAACCGAGAAGCAACCTTTTCCTGTCCCGACTTCGTTGTGCAATTTTAGTATTTTAAAACATCTGAGTTGTTAATCAGGCTCACTTAATTTAGTTGACCCATGTTAGAATCAAATGCGATGAATATATCTGTTCTCAAACAATCGATGTAAATCGTGAAACTCAATTTGAAGGGTTTAAAGGTTGTGGAGGGGAAGGTATCTCGCCTGTCTATGGATGGTATTGTACTTTTGACTTTGAAAGTTTTAAAGATTTACGAGAAGTGGTTTGCAAAGTTTCGACAATCCCTCGTTTCTCTTATTTTTGATTAAAAAACCGAGACTAACATAAAAATCTACGGTGCAATGTCTTTTCTGCCCGGAATTTTCAGGATGTAATTTGACACGAATTATAGACTGTAAAGCGGAAGCACTGACAAAGTGGGCATTTCACGGCAACTAGTTGTTTAAGGGATCCAAAGGAGTGAAGGTCTCTTGGTTAGCCCAGGATCATAATATTGGAACGCGGAAAATGAAAAGCAAATTTCACCAATTACCTGGCATTTGTCAACTTTTACAATGAAACATTTGTAAAACACGAATCGAGACTGTTTGCACCAGAGGGGCATCAAGTTTTACACTAAATAACGAACTCCAGTTTTGTATTTAAGTACTTTCTCTAGTTTTGTCTTGGAAACTAGAACCTATAGGTACTAGGGCTAAAGAAACTGTAGATGAATTGCGGATCTAGATCATTTAAGAATATTATTTATATATATATATTTGCTATCAAAACCTAGCAAAAGAGATTTTTTGTGATTTTTATCATTTGTTCCTTATACAATGTTTGGAGATATAAATGGACACATGTTTCATGACTTCTGTCATTTCTAAAATCAAAGCAACCTTAAAATCTTATTCTTTTTCTTTCACCAATCTTTTTTTGGTTCAACAATTTTGATGAGGAATCAAAAAGAGACATTTCCTTTTAATTTAAATTTTTTAAATCAAATTCACTCAGTGAACCAGCCTTATTTCATTTCTATTTATCAAGATCTTATAATTATTTATATAACTCGTCTTTCTACATTATTAAACTTTAAGCTGGAAAATATATGTACTTTTATTATGATGTCGTGATTCATTTGTGTTGATTTTCACAAAAGTGCTTACAAGTTTTGCTATTTATAAAGATATTCATCTTGTTATTAAAGAAGTGCATACATGTTTGTTTGCTCAAGCTTTTATAGTATAAAAATTGTATACTTTTATAGTATATATAAAAAGTTTTTCTTGTATACTTATTACCAACTTTCAAGATGTTTTTCAAGATGTTTAATATAAAAAGTTTTTCTTGTATACTTATTACCAACTTTCAAGATGGATTGTTATATGCTATCCATTAAGGTGTTAGTTTCTGCATTCATGTAGAGTTTGCAAGCTTAAAATGTGGGTGGAATTCACACAGGTTTGTTTTTTGCAAGCTAAAATTGGTACTGCTTGTTGTCCACATTGGAACAGAGGTATCTTTCTGTGGTCATTTTGAGGTCACTGTTGTTGAAAGCTTTCTGAATGTGGGGAAATTAAGGGTAGATAACCTATTTATTGCACTGGATTATGTTTTAATCATCACTGCAAATATAATTGTCAATAACCCTTTGAGATGGGTAGACATTCTGCTCTAATCAGTATCCATGTCCTCAGCACAGGCATTTAAGCCACAATATTCTATAAACAAATGTGACAATATATGTGTGTTAGTTGCCACTAAATGTCCATATTAAGCATTTATTTAAGCATAGGATGAATAGAAAGCACATTTTTGGGTTAAGTACCTTTGTTCTGAAATTAAGTCCTAGAATGAATGAATGAATGAATGAATGAATGATTTTAGGCTAAATGATAATGATGAATTCATATGTAACAAAAATTGTGTGAGTTACATTACAAACAAAACCAGCTAACATTGTGGCCCCTTTTTTAAAGTAAATTTGGCCAGTAAATGTATATATAGAGTCATTAAATGTCACCTGAACAGTAACTGGAGCATTTGCTTGTGGTCAGTCAACTTTTGCATATCTCCCTTTATATCATGATTGAACAGATAAGCAGCAAAACTTTAGAAATGCTGAAAATTATTTTCTATCTTTGGTGTAGCCATCATCTTGAAAAGAAGGTGTGCACCTGTAAAACAATCCTTGCCAATATTTTCAAACATTGCAAAATTATATATATATATTTTGATTGTTTTCTTTTAAATTTTGAAAAACCTTGTTGCAGCATTTATTTGCTGTTGCATATATTAACTTGTACATGCATGAATGTATTATGGATGCTTTTGTTGCTGCCTTATTTCTGCAGTAGTTGAAAATTGTGTAAAATTCAACATGGGTTTTTGTTTGTTTTTTCAAAAGTGTTTTTTCCTTTCAGTTTTAACAGGTAAACTGTAAAATCATACACCAAAATATTATTTTTCTGATTTTTAGAGCCAGTAAAATAAGCTACAGTTGGAATAAAATAATTATCTGGTTTTAGAAATCCCCATCAAAACAGCTTTATGTATTTATACATGAATTAGCCTCCAAAGCAGCTTTTTTGTTTCTATACAGATGTATACCCAAGTCAAATTGATCTATTATATATAAATATATGTTACCTATTTATCACCTTCTTGAATATTAGTTTTCAATAATTGTATGTAAGACACTGCTTAGCCTGCATCACTGAAACAGGTCAACACAAAGGCCAGTAAATAGAGCTCTGCTGATTTGGGAATGTTTGAGAATTATCACCTATATAAATCCCTACTAACATAAATAATCAATTGAGTCAAAAAAATGAATTTCGGCAAATCAATAGATGCTTTGAGGAAGATACAAAAGTAAAAAAGGAATAGGGACAACTTATTGTCAGTCAGTTGGAAAGAACTGTTTTTTGTATAGAAAAATCACTTTTAGGGTGTTAATTATTTTGGTTCCTCTAAATAACAGTTTGTTGTTATTTTTATTTGATCTATGTAAATGCTTCTTCATCATATTTGCAGCTCCAAAACATTGGAATCAACTCAGCCAGTATTGGCTTTGCAACTTTGACCATGGAGTCAGACAAGTACATATGTGTAAGGGAGAAGGTTGGTGACACTGCCCAGGTGGTGATTGTGGACATGGCAGACCCTACCAACCCAACAAGAAGACCAATTTCTGCTGATTCTGCCATCATGAATCCAGCTTCAAAAGTCATTGCATTGAAAGGTTTGTTTTTTCTAACAGAAACCCCTTTATACATTTTTTTACATCCATAAAGACAGAAAAATAAGGCAGACATGGACAGAGAGGTCCAAGCTCGAAATTGTTTGAAGAAAGTCATTCAACAATCCACAATGGCAAAACTGAGGTTATAGTAATAACTAGAAAAGCCCTTGGTGGTATTTTGTGCCAAGTAAAAATAGCAATGAAATAATTATGTATATATAAACAGAATAAACATATGGTTATGAATTGAATGGTTTGCATAGGAAAACTGAAAAACTCATTTGCCTTTCCTTGGGTAAAAACAAAAAAGGAAAGATATGATCAAAATTTGGTGGTTTTGTAGTTTTGTAGTTGATGGAGTCAGTTGCAGGAGATAGTATTACTCAGTAATAATAAAGAAATTGTTAATTGGGCATCAAGAAAGCAGGAGAAATGATTCTTTGCATGAGCAAGCTTTCAAATAACTTTCAAGCAACAATATGTTTATCAATCATCAACACATGGACAACCCATTTTATTAAGGAAAAAATATTATTTTATTTCTCTGCATTTGCAAAAGCTAGGAAGGATTTTAAGAAGATTGTAAGTAAATGCAGATAGATAGAAGGTCCCTCTCATGCTACACTTTTGACATACATGGACATTTTGAGTTGTTATTATTTATTTTTATATTGCAGCAAGCAAAACAGTTCAAATCTTCAACATTGAAATGAAAAGCAAAATGAAATCACATAACCTGACAGAAGATGTTATATTTTGGAAATGGATTAATCTAAACACCATTGGGCTTGTAACAGAGACAGGAGTGTTTCATTGGTCAATGGAAGGGGGTGTGTAGACTCAATAATTATTTGCTAGACAGTTTATTAAAAGTCATATGTGGAAATGGGGACCAACTGTTTTCTGTACTAGAAATAGGGAGTAACTGTACAACTTTACATTTTATAGCTGATCCTATTCAAATGGCTTTCAGACATGAGATATTTTACATAGGATCGGCTTCATCCTGACACAAAGCTCAGAATGTTCTCATCAATCAACTTTACTGTGTTTCATAGCTTCTTCTGTTGCAAAGAGGAATTTATCCGCTATCTTTTCTGCTGCAACGGTTTTTAATCTCTTATCTTTAGGTGACTCAAGCCCAGTGAAAATGTTTGATAGGCACCAGTCTCTTGCCAATTGCCAAATTATCAACTACAAAACAGATTCAACTGGAATGTGGTTGCTTCTTGTTGGAATTTCGGCACAGGTTTGCTGTTATTTTATGTCACAATTCAAAAGAAGAAAGAGATAAATTATTATGCAAATTTTTACTTTTTTATAGTTGCATTGATTTAGAATAAAAGTATGTTTTTAGATAAATATATGTGTATATGTATGTTATTATGAATTAAATACGATAAGCAGTCATTGTTAATGTATGGATGGCAGAAAATAGTTCAATTGTTTACCATATGTATATGAAATGCTAGGACTGGAATGGAGTGCTTTTTTGCCAACTGAGCTTGGTTTTCACTTGTGATTATTTTCTGAGTCAGAATGGTTGTTTTATGATCACATCATAAAGTCAAGGTTTATTATATCAATCTTATGAGATAAAATAGGGATGAATTTGTATAATTGACTATTCAAAAAACTTTTGTCTTTTTTATCATTATAAACTGTTACATTGAATTTTCAAAGTTCTGCATATTTTCTAATCTTCGCAGAATTAGTGTTGAAACTCACAGAACATTTTATTGGTCATTTTAACATAAACAAATGATCATTGCAAGAATATGTCATGTCATAAAGAAATGCACAGGGACTGACCAAAATAAGGGTCGACAAAAGCAAAAATTGAGTCCCACTACACCTATGGCTTTAGAAAAAGACTCCTATTATTAGACTATTAACATTAATAACGCTGTAAGCTGCCCCTGTAATCATTTTAACTTAAAGATTCCATATCTTTGCAAAAGTGGGAACATCTGGCTAACAGGTTCTATCTCATTCTGTACTACAACATTATTTTGGTCTGAATCAATCAATCAATACAGCAAGAACTTTCTTGCTGTTCTCATTCTGAACTAAAGTATTAGCTCATTATCTCAAGTAAACTGTTTTTGAGATGCAAATGCTTTTGGGTTCTGTAATCCCGTTTCTAATTGAATTAATTCTTCAAAATAGCAAAGCAGAGTTGTGGGTGCAATGCAGCTGTATTCAGTTGAAAGGAAAGTCAGCCAACCTATTGAAGGTCATGCAGCCACATTCACGCAATTCAAATTGGATTCTAATCCACAGCCATCCAATATTTTCACGTTTTCAGTCAGAGGTGCTCAAGCATCTAAGGTATACAATATGCTTGCCATTTGTTTCCTTTTATAACTTTGGAGTATGTTAAAAACTTTGCAACTTTTATATTAGCCCAACTTAATTTGAATGTAGTTAGTATATACAAATTTTGTCGTGCCAAGATGACAATGAGATAAAACACCAGGCCTTGTTTATGACAACATACTCAGAAGCATTAAGTTAAATTAACCTTCAACTATTAGTAACACAATGTATATGAAATAATGACTTTTAAAACATAAACAAATATGACAAAATCATGATACTCACGAACACTTGTAGAGTAAAGTATATTATGAATGTTATTCAGAAAGCAACTTAGGCAATGAAAACTATTTTCAAAACCACCCTGATTTCATAATCATCATCATCAACCTTATTTTGTGTTAGTTTATTCTACAACCAATTAACACTATCATGAAGCATCTAAGAAATCACATTTTGGACAAAATAGACTACTGTTAGTACATGCTGAGTAGCAGCATGGAATCTAGTAATGAAGTGATGAAAGTCATTAGGAATTATGCTTAAAAGTGTCACCATTTATCTATCAGCTATCAAAGGAAAGACCAAGCTTCTCATATTCTCAAGACTAATGCTTGATATCATTTTTGTAGATCCATGTTATTGAAGTTGGAACACCACCAACTGGAAACCAACCATTCCCCAAAAAGGCAGAAAACATTCTTTTTCCTCCAGAAGCCGACCGAGATTTCCCAGTTGCTATGCAGGTAATTTTTATATCAACAAAATTGTTTTTCATCAAAATAGCAATATTTCACAGTGAATTGGTTCAGTCAGTATATAAGTTTGTAGACTAACTAAGGATCAAAGTGTCTGCAGTCTTATCATCAGGTACCATCTTTTATCAGAAGGTTGGCTACCATGACCCTCCAACTATCCCAAAATCTGGGATTTGGTTTGTTGTCATGGTCATGGTCTGTAGTCTACAACCCTAAATTTCAACCCTAATGACCAAACTTTCACCCAAAGTGAGGGAGTCATTTGCTTTCTGCGATTCTAGACATGGGTATGTTCAAGTTGAGAGAAAGGACAAGGGTACTGCTTAATAAGGATAGCTTCTTGGTGCTCTAAAAGCTACCTTTGTTTACTAGGTAGAAACAAATGCATGAATCTCTTACTTCTGGATCTAATGTTGTATCTATAAAATTGATCTAGTACAGTTTTTAAATCATGCAAATGGCTATTATTTTGGTATGCAGATGAAGCAAACTGTTGTTCTTTTATACTCTGCTTGTTTTTATTAATTCCATATCACTTAGGGATTGGTTTTTTAGATTTATGAGTTGTATTTTCTAGGCCAGCCAAAAGTATGGGATCATCTTCCTTGTCACTAAATATGGTTACATTCATTTGTATGACGTTGAAACTGCATCTCGCCTATACACAAACAGAATCAGTGGTGAGACCATCTTTGTCACTGCTCCATATGAGGCAACAGATGGTATCATTGGAGTCAATCGTAAAGGACAGGTGAGAGCTGAAAAAAACTCAGTTTTGATATGAATGCATTGTTTGATTCCAAATTTTCGAGCTTTGCTCGCTTACTTTGTGTTTGTTTGTTATTTGTTTCTAAAAACTTTCAAGGAACTCATCAGAAGAGCCAAGACATGGTAGAATACATACTTTTAATACTTTTGTAGACCAATCAAGCAACCAACATCCAGAAATGTATATTGGGGATCTGTTCGTTTGAAATGTAGAGCTACATTCAGAGCTGCAAAAAGTATGCAAACCTGGGGACTAGATTCCTAGAAAAATTTTTGGCTTGGCAGAAAATTTTCATCAAAACTTGATAAAAACAGCTGTCTTTTGCATTAGCAAAAAAAATTTCATGACTTTTCACAACAGATCAAAGTTTATGCAAATAAGAAGTTTATACATATATATATATATATATATATATATATATTATATATATATATATATATATTTGAAACTTTTATAAAAACTATTACTCCTTTATCAAATATCGCAAAAAAATTGTAAAACTTGGAAGCAACCTTCAGCTTCCTTGTCCAGGACATGTTTAACAGGTAAAGCTGCAGACCTGAAGTAGGCAATTGATATGCGTTGAAAAGTGCTGTTTTAGTTTCCTTATATCAGGCTACGATTTTGGATCTTTACAGATCAAAAGCTACGAAAACTATATGCATCCTCTTGACTGAGGACTTGATAGACTTAGCAAACTGTTGGGTCTTGATTGAGATCTTGACAGACTTGGCAATGTTTTTGATTGATACTAAATTACACCCAGATGTTTTTTCAAGATCATAGTTGTCCTTTGAATATTTAGATATCACCAGTTATTGTGTACCTATCATATGAAATAAAAGGCTAAAAAAGCTGGCTGATGAGTATAAACAAGTAACCAGATGCATCTTCCCAAAACTGGCATCTATTGCCTTTTCCAAACATCAGGTATTTGTGGAGAGCACCATGTTGAAATTTTTTGCAATCAATAAACATATTCCCACTTGGTTCACAAATCAGTTTTACTTTTTCGCATAGTCAATATTCGCCAAAAAAAAGAAGATGCAAACAACTGAATTAGACAAACTATGACGGCACCTCATGTAGTGACTTAATCCAGTGCTCTTTCCCATATACCAACCTAGAGGGGTGGAAAGGTCCGTTATTATCATATAAATGAAAGGTATAAATTACATGCCATATAGTTAGATAAAGATATATATGGGAGTTATAAATTAATGCCATATAGTTAGATTGGCATAATGGGACATAATAAATTAATGCCATATAGTTAGAATGACAAAATGCATTGCAGAGGTTTGTGTCAGCAACTAAACAAATTCAGGTAATTATTTTTTGGCCAGGTAAATTTGAAGTCCACAATCTGTATATTGTATATGTATTTATGTATATGTAAATTTGTTTGTTGTCATTCGTGGCAGTTAATTTTCATATTTTCCTCCCGATTCCAACATGCATACCTTTTGCATCAATCCAGCTTCATTTCGTAGGTATTATCTGTCAGTATTGATGAAGAAAAGATTGTGCCATACCTTATAGAAGTAAAACGAGAGAGTCATTTGCCGCGGCGTCTCGCTGAGAGATGTAATTTGCCTGGAGCTGAGAAACTGTTTGAGCTAATGTTCAACGAAGAATTTTCTCTAGGACAGTTTTCCGAAGCTGCTAAAATAGCTGCAAAGGCTCCAAAGGTATAATTGGCTTTTTAGAGTATCTGTTTGAATCCACTTTACGCTTAAAACATACTACAATATATATTTAATCAAAACCTAGTTGCTTAGACATGATTCTTGCAATTTAATGCCCCATAATTCATCGTTTGTGTTACATATAGGAAATCATGCTGGTTGTATATGGTGTTACCACAATCATGATTTTATCTCGTTATTACCAAAATTTCTCTTATTTACATGCAAATGTTTAGATATTGATAATGCCATTTCTGTTGTCGATGATGAATCTCCCTAATGAGTTAATTTACTATGAAATAACTCAATAATTCCTCGTTCTGAGTCAACAGGAATGTTTTTACTGCAAATGGCTCTTGGCTTAAAGTGGACGGAAGCATAAGAAAGATATTTAGCATCTATTTACGAGACTTTCACAATGCTGTAAATGTTCCATTTCTGGAGGCACAAAAGGCCTCTCTGCAAATGTTGTACAGTAGGGCGCCTTGCTGCATGTCGTTGGGCGTTTATCATAAGCATGCTAAAACAAAACAACATCTGGTTGCCTGCGTTTTTACAAAAATATCTCGCTATTAGTTGTATCTCAAATGCTCTAAAAGATTTACATTCTGAAATTTTCGTCTATGAATACCATGCCTGTTGAGTATAGCAATCTTATAAGGCAACAATCTTCTCTTTTATAGGGGCATCTCAGGACTCAGCAGACCATTCAGCGTTTCCAGCAGGTTCCTGCCCAGCAAGGTCAGACATCGCCTCTTTTGCAATATTTTGGTATCCTCTTGGACCAAGGGCAGCTGAATAAGTATGAATCAGTAGAGCTCTGCAGACCTGTGCTTTTGCAAAATAAGAAGCAGCTGATGGAGAAATGGCTCAAAGAAGACAAGGTAGGGCAAAAACATTTCACTTCTGCATTTATAATATTATGTTATTCTTTGTATATTTAAAAGCCTATATTGATACTTTTTGTTAGATATTTATAATGATCTACTTAATTGTTTCTCCAAAACATATTCCTTTCAGTCTATAGCTAATAAACGTGTTTACTTTTTCGCTTCTAAAATTGAAAGGGTTTTCCTTTTCTCTGTTCATGAAAGGCGTGCAAATACACCTAGCCAGCTTTCTTCGCTGGAATAGGTGATGGGTGCTCTCTAAGTCAGTGTAGATGAAGTAATAACCTTACAAATAATAGAGACGTGCAAGAATCGATTATCCATGTTGTCATCAATGATGAAAAAACATCACCATCTTTCGATTGAGTCGATTGTACAATGAAAAGTAATCTTTTATCCTGAGATGACACTTCTTGTTCAATGATGACATCTGATTTGATTTTTTCTTTGTGCGAAATGACATAAACAACTGCTTTGCTATAGCTTGAATGCAGTGAAGAACTTGGAGACCTAGCCAAGCAGTTTGATAGCACCCTTGCCCTCTCTGTATACCTAAGGGCGAGCGTTCCAAACAAGGTATGTCTCTTTGTGTTCAATTTCAATTTTCATTTCGGTAACATTTTTGTATTACATTTTAGCTCCCCTCTCTATCGCAAGCTCACAGCTAGATATACGAATCCAAACGCAATTGTACAACAACATAGTTTGGTACAGGAACATCCAAACGCCATAGTTTGGTTTTGCTTCCTGATTGTAATTTTCTTTGTTATTTTGCCGATTCCCCGTTTTTTGCAAGTTTCGCTTTTTTCAGAGTAATCAATGCATGCCAGATTTATGTTGTCTATGATGAATTTCCCTTTTGAGCTAATTTGCTGTGAAAAATACTCAATTAATTCCTCGTTCTGAGACAACAGATAAGTAAATTTTTGTTTGCGCACGATCAAATTATGCAAATAAACTAAATCTTACCAAGAACAATTTTTCTGCGTAATATTTAACTTTTTTCAGCAATTTGCGTTTACATTTTACTCATCAGAGAATTTAACTTACGAAACAAATCCTGTAATACTAATGTGATGAACGCTTCATTTTAAACTAATGATTAGATATAAATAAAACTAAATAAAATATTTTTTTTGTTTATCCATAGCTGAATTTTCTTGGCACAATTTTCAGCAATATTTATAATACTCCATGCAAATATATGACCACGTAGCCTACAGGATATCTATGTCTTTTTTAACTACTAAAAAGGTGTGTTCTATAAATTAACTTAATAATTGATGCATTGTTGTAAATGAGTTTCTTGTACGACAGGTTATTCAGTGCTTTGCCGAAACAGGCCAATTTCAGAAGATAGTGTTGTATGCAAAGAAGGTTGGGTTTGAGCCAGATTTCGTCTCACTCCTGCGCAATGTCATGAGGGTGAACCCCGACGCTGGTGCGCAGTTTGCATCTATGCTGTTTCAGGATGACGAACCTCTTGCAGATCTTAACCAGGTACTGCATTGTTGGTTATTTGAAAAAAGTTAAAGTTATTTCCTTGTCAAATAGAATTGTTCTCGGTCTCAACAGAAACATTTAGTCAGGTTTTAAATGGGAAGTGTGAACATTTTGCCAAGATGGTTTTTACTGGGGGTTTTGTGGGTAACAGGAAATTTTACGTATTATCCGTAGGGTGGGATTAATTTGAAATACGCCAACTGTTGTATCTACGTGAATAGGGTCCTTGGTAGAAACCCTGGGTGTTTAATGTTATAAATTGTACTATCAACTCCATATGGTGATTTGAACAGTCATTGAATGTGGATTTTTAGTTAATGTGTGCGATTGTCCGTAGATCGTCGACATATTCATGGAATTCAACTTAGTGAAGCAGTGTACATCATTCCTGCTGGATGCATTAAAAAACAACCGACCCAGTGAAGCCGCTCTCCAAACTCGAGTCCTGGAAATGAATTTAATGTCTGCCCCTCAGGTATGAAAGTTTATTAACAATATCGCCATTGATAAAGTAATGTGATATATAAAAATCTAATTGCCATATCTTATATCAAGGAGCTGAAACTAAATACTTAAAGGCACCAACTAATGAAAATGAGTTGATATACAGCAAATCATCAAACAAAGAAGAACCTACAGCATGTGCCTTGGGTTAAAAACTTATTTTAGACTGCCAAAGCAGAGGGTTTTCATTTGAAAAGGCTCTGAACCATTTTTGGTCACTAGGAGACACTGACTTTATTTATCCTCAGCTCAGGATATATGTATCTTCTAGATAAAAGTTAATGTGAGAATCTTAGGCTCTTCAATTCCTTGTACACCAAAGAACGGCCAGGCGGTTGAAACTAAAGTCATTCTTTGCTGGGATTTGCTGTAGGCGATACAGCACATGCAGTTTGTCAAACAACAGCACAGTTTCTTTCTTAAAGATTCCCAGAGTTCGACAGTACACCTCTTCAGCTTTTTATCTCGTGATTAAATGTTTCCAGATTCATTACAGATTTTGGTGCATGCATTTTTCAGGTGGCAGATGCAATTCTTGGGAACCAAATGTTCACCCATTACGACAGAGCACATGTAGCCCAGTTATGCGAACAGGCTGGACTGCTACAAAGAGCGCTGGAGCACTATACAGACATCTATGACATCAAGCGAGCAATTGTCCATACACACATGCTGAATCCAGAATGGCTTGTTGGGTACTTTGGTACTTTGTCAGTGGAGGACTCTCTAGAATGCCTCAAAGCCATGTTGACTCATAACATAAGACAGAACTTGCAAATCTGCGTGCAAGTTGCCACAAAATACCACGAACAGCTCACTACCACTGCGTTGATTGATCTCTTTGAGTCGTTCAAGAGCTATGAAGGTCTGTTCTTTTTTCTTGGATCCATTGTCAACTTCAGTCAAGAATCAGACGTGCACTTCAAATATATCCAGGTACGAGCTCGTCGACAGTTCTTGAATATATATTGCGTGTTCACTATATTTTGCTGTACATCTGAATTGGTTTGAATTGGTTACTGTTGGTTGGCTTATTTCGAAAGTCAAATGCCAAATGGTATGTCAAATGCCACCACACAGGAGATGCATGGGATTGTCCCGTCCCTTAGGAATGTCTTTTCAGCAAGTCCTCATTCTGGGCGAGTTATTGTCAGTGAACTAGCTCAATTTCATACTTGCTAGATTTATTTTCAAATCTCTCTTTCCTCCTCGATTTCTGAGAAGTGAGGATCATTAAGATTTGACACATTTGAAAATTTTCAATTCGCGTAGCTGCATCTTAGCTACAGAAATGTTTATTTTATTGCATATTTTTACAGGCTGCCTGCAAAACAGGTCAGATGAAAGAAGTCGAAAGAATCTGCAGAGAAAGCAATTGCTATGAACCGGAACGTGTTAAGAACTTCCTCAAGGTACGACTTTAACTAGTTTTTTTAGAAGAATTTTGTGCCGTATTTTGAAGTCATGATAAAGCTACTAGTGTAGTTAAAAGTTTTTTATGTATTCTGTTGGAAATACATAAACATAAAACCAAGATCATTTACAGAATTTTTTTCATCCGATGATGTTATTTATTATATTGTAAGCGTTTGATGTCGTGTATGGACAAGTTTTCCTTTCTGTTTTAGGAAGCCAAACTCACGGATCAACTTCCGTTGATCATTGTTTGTGATCGATTCAACTTTGTCCATGATCTTGTCCTGTATCTCTACAAAAACAGCTTGCAGAAGTATATCGAAATCTATGTCCAAAAGGTATGTTGTTTGAATCCTTTGCCACTTGACTTATCATTCCCTGTAAAGTAGTTAGTATGTTTCCAGATGTTTCATGTGGAGTAGGATTTCAAGAACCGGGGGGTGTTTTTAACGTTCTGTAAAATATATTTGCTTAGGTCGATTTCGATGTATGTTTTATGTATATATTTCTGTTATTATTCAATATTTTTATCATAAATGATGAGATTTGGCCACTACACTACTTCAACTCAAGTGGTTCCCTTTCGAGTGTGGTTCTGCGTTTTCTTACTCCTTGTGAATGTCTAACTATTATAATATTTTTGATTTTTCGTACAATTGCCTCACAGGTCAATCCATCCCGTCTTCCTATCGTAATTGGCGGTTTGTTAGATGTTGACTGTGCCGAAGACGTCATCAAAAGTTTGATTATGACCGTCAAAGGGCAATTTTCAACAGACGAGCTTGTAGAAGAAGTTGAAAAGCGAAATAGATTGAAATTGCTACTGCCGTGGCTGGAAACACGAATCCACGATGGATCTGAAGAGCCGGCAACTCACAATGCTCTTGCCAAAATATACATTGATGCAAATAACAACCCAGAGAGATTCCTCAGGTGTTTATCATCTTCAGATGTGCATTTTGAATTTAGTTAAGATTACAATGCTTTAAGTGCGGGTTCCTTTTGATACAAAGTGTGTCTCTACATAACTGACGTTTAATTCACGCTACTTGTTTTTTGGCGATAACTGATTGCATTTTCCATTCACAGAGAGAACCCATTCTACGATAGCCGAGTGGTTGGAAAGTATTGTGAAAAGAGGGACCCCCATCTTGCCTGTGTGGCTTATGAAAGAGGACAGTGTGATATGGAACTGATTAACGTAAGTTCCCTTTTTCAAGTAGAAATGTCATCATCACCATCATCATCATTATCAACTATGGACCACCATTATCACTTATTCAATGATTTGAGGTCGAAGTTTTTGAATTCTTCAACTTTGGTCCAAATTTCTTTGCTGTAAAATGCTCCAAACTAATTCTTTCAGCTTTTCTACTAGCTATAAATTGTTTATATTTTTGTTCCAAGGTTTGCAATGAAAACTCCCTGTTTAAAAGTTTAGCCCGTTATCTTGTACGGAGAAGAAGCCCAGAGCTATGGGCATCTGTCCTTGAGGAAACAAACAAGTATAGAAGGCAGCTGATTGATCAGGTAAGATCGATAATGTGTTGTCCCCCCTTCCTTCTGCGTAATATATGCTACAGTTTTCATAACCTGAAATTTTTTCCCATAACATGAAAGAGCATCATGAAATACCTCTTAATATGCAAAATCAGTTAAAGGCATCACGAATTGGCTGAGATATGTCCAGATGAGTACAAGCTTTGGCCCCATCAAACCTCTATAATTTGGTCTTAGTTCATAACTTTATGAACACCAGTAATCTGTCAGCAAACTCCAGATCTTCATATTGCCATAGCTCACCCGATTTTTGACAAATTTAACTGATTTTGCATATATGGGAGTATTTTATGGTGTTCTTTTATGTTATGTGGTCAAAATTCGAAAATTCTAAAAATAGTTTTTTGTGACGTCACACTTGAGAACTCTATTATGCAAGTTAACACTCTGTGTCAGGCCCTTCCAATGGCTTGCTTCAATTTTTATGCTTGCTAAAGTAATCTTCAGGCTAAATTCACTCTTGCTCGTAGCTCATGATGCAAGAAGATCAGGGTCTGAAATATGTATCATTTGTTTTGTCATGCTCTTTAATGCTGGAAGTTATTCCATATGTTATAAGTTCTTATTTATTGATTTTCGCTGCAAATTTTTAATGGTTTATTTTATCGTAGTATACGTTATGTCACAAAAAGTCAGCCCACAATATTTGCTAAAAACGTCATCTACTGCAAGAGCTTTTTGTTTGACACGGAAAATGCAAAGCCTTACGGAATGATCATTTGAAAAAAGGCAAATCAATGAAAAATTGTAAAAAGAACGAACTTAACAGTAACATTATGAACCGCAGGAAAAAAATATGCTTAAGATATTGTGTATAGGTACTGTCGAAAGACTTCAATAGGAACTAGAGACGAGGAAATTTCTTTTCGAAACATAACTTTGCTCAGAACAAGAATCCTTGGTTCTACATTTCATTAATTGGACAGGTTTCCTTAACAGATAGACCAAGAAATTAATTTTCACATTGCTAGCTCTTTAGATGTGCTTGGGATTGTGTGATCTAATTGGGATTGTGCGAAGTTTAACAATTTGATATTTTCCTGATAGGTAGTGCAAACAGCCCTGTCTGAAACCCAAGATCCTGAAGATGTATCTGCAACTGTCAAAGCTTTCATGACTGCAGATTTGCCAAACGAGCTTATTGAACTGCTGGAAAAGATTGTACTTGAGAACTCGGTGTTTAGCGATCATAGGTACGTTCTTTCATCTTAAAAGTCAGCAAGTGTTTCCCGTTGAATATACGATTTATCATCAGCTTTTTATAGAAGTTGCGTTGGGCTTTTTGGAAGATCAGGCTTATGAACAATTTTTATTTCAGGGCAAGCAGCTGATTTGAGGGGATTGTGTTTGGGGAGGGGTTTCGAGAATTTATGGTATGCCAGTTTGGTAGATCTGTGAAATAGTGGAACTGTGTATGTTGTTCTCGTTCGCCTGTCTAAATTTGTTCCAAGTAAAGTCCATGCCAGGCACCAACACCGTCACTAGATCAATTTCTCTTTTGCCTTTTCTTGTCCCAATATATGGTAACTGTCCTGAGAGGAACGTTGTATGCCTCAATGTATAGAAACGGCAAGCATGTAGTAAATTGTCCTATAGCACTCATTCATGCTCTTCTATTCCACCCTAGGAACTTGCAGAACCTGTTGATTTTGACTGCAATTAAGGCCGATCGCACTCGTGTTATGGAATACATCACAAGACTTGATAACTACGATGCTCCCGACATTGCAAGCATAGCTATTGGCAGTGAACTTTTTGAAGAGGCCTTTGCAATATTCAAGAAGTTTGACGTTAACACTTCAGCTGTACAGGTAATAATTTTTAATCAGCTATCGTCCACAAGAAAGGTCTTTTCCCGTGTCGTTGCTAGGCTAGTGGATAGAAGTCTTTTTTCATTCCTCTTGTAATTGTCCCGTTATTTAATATTAGTTTTATGTCATCCCATTTGTTTGCCTGCCCCTATCCTATTGAAATCGTTTCATGGGTCTCCCCTGTTTTGACTCGAGAAAATAAACTAGTACATTCATGGCTGTAAATGCTGCTTTCTTTCAGGTTTTGATCGATAATATTAAAAATCTCGACCGGGCTTATGAATTTGCAGAGAGGTGCAACGATCCTCAAGTGTGGAGTCTGCTCGCAAAAGCACAGCTTGATCAAGGAATGGTCAAAGAGTCAATCGACTCCTACATCAAAGCTGATGACCCATCTTCGTATATGGAGGTGGTTGATGCTGCTAAGAATTCAGGTAATTTATCAGGCAAACTATATCAGACAACTATCTTTTATTTCTTAATAATTTTGCAAAGCAAATCAGAAGTTTCAAATTTTCCTCTCCTTCTTTGGCTTAAACTTGAAGGCCTCATTGTATTCTTTCATATTTTTCCGATGGACCATAACCGTTATCTTCAAGATCATAGATGAGTCGCATGATTGCGATTAAAGAATACTTTTTACCTGGCTAAAGGTATGAACTGATAACTCTTCTATTTACAGAAAACTTCGAGGAGCTAGTGAAATTCCTTCAGATGGCACGTAAAAAGGCTCGTGAATCCTACATAGACACGGAGCTCATCTTCGCCTTTGCTAAAACTGGGCGGCTTGCTGAGTTGGAGGAGTTTGTCTCCGGGCCTAACCATGCCAACATTGGGCAAGTAGGCGAGCGATGCTTTGAGCAGAAGATGTTTGAGGCAGCCAAGATTCTCTTCAATAACGTCTCAAATTTTGCCCGTTTGGCCTCAACCCTTGTCCACTTAGGCGAATACCAAGCAGCCGTAGATGGAGCTAGAAAAGCTAATAGTACAAAAACATGGAAGGAGGTAATGACATTGCACTGTTACTAGTTTCTCACACCTTACACACATTTATAGAGCTAGAGCTTTACATTTGCTCTTGTTTCCGGTGGAAGATCAAATGAATACCATTCTTATGCGCTGTAAAGCAAATGTTGCCATCTTTGATGTGTATTTCAGTGACTTCTGCTGTGAAAGTGTCCAAACACTTAGTTCTGACCTTTATCTCTTGAATCATATATCTCAAGTATGTTGTGATGCATTCGTTAATATAAATAATTTTGTTTGTCTGTATAAGGATACTTAATCAATTTCATTATTAAATTGATAAAGATTGTCTATTCTCGTTTAATTTGTTTGATCAATTTATAACTTTCAACTTGTGCAGGTCTGTTTTGCATGTGTTGATGGCGAGGAGTTCCGCATGGCCCAGATGTGCGGTCTTCACATTGTAGTCCACGCAGACGAACTTGAAGATCTGATTCGTTATTATGAGAGCAGGGGCTACTTCGAGGAGCTGATTGCTCTGATGGAAGCAGCACTTGGTCTGGAGCGAGCACATATGGGAATGTTCACAGAGCTGGCTATTCTCTATTCAAAATACAAGCCTATCAAGATGAAGGAACATCTCGAGCTGTTTTGGTCAAGAGTTAACATTCCGAAGGTACGCCAGCTGTCACGGGCTCTGCACATTTTCACTTTTGTTGCACGAAGTTTGTTGCACGAAGTTTGTTGCACGAAGTTTGTTGCACGAAGTTTGTTGCACGAGTGTTTCCCCCTAAAGGGCACTGACTTTTGTAGAATTTTTCGAGGTCTCTTGTGTATGTTTAGAACAGCAGCTTGTTTTCCAGTCGTTATTATATGTTTGCCCTATCTATTGTGTTTTCCAAACTGAGTAGAGAATTTGTTGTTGTTATTATTATAAAAACTCTTGTTCAGCCCTGCTTATTCCTCATAGTTTGAACTACAAACTAGTTCTTTATCTGCATGCTCTACACTAATTTAAAAGAACAATTTCTGTTCACTTCCATACTTAAGAACCCGATTCCCCTCACTTTTTTGGAATAAAGATTTGCATAATGGATTTTCACTTTTAGGTACTGCGAGCATGTGAACAAGCACATCTCTGGGCTGAATTGGTCTTCCTTTATGACAAATATGAGGAGTATGATAACGCAGTTGTAACGATGATGAAGCACCCAACGGTTGCGTGGAAGGAAGGCTTATTCAAGGAAGTTATCACCAAAGTTGCCAATATAGAACTCTATTACAAAGCCTTACAGTTCTATCTGGACCACAAACCGCTCTTCTTAAACGATCTTCTCATTGTTCTTACGCCTAGAATGGATCACACGCGTGCAGTGAACTTCTTCCAGAAGGTCAAGCAGTTACCACTAGTTAAACCATATCTTCGCTCTGTCCAAAATCACAATAACAAAGCGATAAACGAGGCTCTTAATTCGCTGCTGATCGATGAAGAAGATTACAATGGTCTCAGGGCATCGATTGACGCATTCGATAATTTCGATAACATCGCGTTAGCCCAAAGGTTAGAGAAACACGAACTTATAGAGTTTAGAAGAATAGCTGCCTATCTTTACAAAGGAAATAATCGATGGAAGCAATCTGTTGATCTATGTAAAAGAGACAATCTTTTTGCTGTAAGTATTCAAGAATTTTCACATTAACTTCATTATTCTGGGTTTATTGAACGTTTTGTTGGATATAAGACTTTGAATATGAGGTAATCCAAAAGTATTTTTGTCCCTATTTGCTTTGGTGACGTATTAACATACCTACAGTGCTCCAGTTATATTGTCGCTTTTGTTTTGTAGATGGCATTCTTCTTTGTTTCGTTTTAATATGGTAAAGCTCTGGTTTATGATCAAGCGATAATTTAGCCGATACCCAGAGGATTGTTGAAATATGAATCTTTTGAGAAGCTTGTTAACTTTGTACTGATACAATTATGTTTTCTAGCCCTTGGTATCATTGAAAAACCTAATTTTAGATTAAAGTCATTAATTGGCACAATGTCTTTTTTACTTAAATCCTGATAGCCAAGCTGCTGGCAGCGCTGCCCATAAAGCAAGTTGTTTATCCAGTTCAGCAATTGTCATTCAATTTGTTCCTTTTTAGGACGTTATGCAATTTTCAAATGAATCTCGGGACCCAGCCTTGGCGGAGGATGTTCTTCAGTGGTTCTTAGAAATTAAAAAATACGAATGCTTTGCAGCAACGCTGTTCATGTGTTATGATCTTCTGAAACCGGATGTCGTCTTAGAGCTAGCGTGGAAACACAATCTCATTGATTTTGCAATGCCTTACATGATCCAGGTGATGAGGGAGTATATTCACAAGGTCAGTTCGATTTCTTTTCAGCCATTCGAGCAGACTAGAATTCCTAGACCGGCCTAGATAATGGCTTCATTTCTCCTATATATACTTAAAGATGCCTATTCTTTTGCTATAGAATTTTAGCAAAGTATATTTGGTCTTTCATAAAACATATATAGCACTGAAAAGTATTAAAATGTTCAGGCTCTTTTGAAGCGTTGAGGTTTAGACCTAACTGCTTAAGTATCACCTAAAGCTGTGTTTGGTTTTGTAGTGATTTTAGGAGAAAGATTTTGTGATTTAATATAAACCAGATAATCGTATCGTCATTTCAACATTTTTATGTCAGGTTGATAAACTCGCTGATGCAGAAACGAAAAGAGACGAGGAAAAGGAAGGTCAGCCAGAACAGCCGATTGTATTTGGTATGAGCTCACTGAATTTTTTTGATGATGCATGCCTTCACTTGTGCGTTGTATAGGACAAAAGCATGTGTAGTTGTGTAAAATATGTTTTAAATGTTGATATGAATTAAAAGGACCAACGCGTTTGCCACAACAAAATTTGGTAACCATTAATCTATTGATTAGGGAGTACCTTTTATATGTATTATTAATCTTTGAAAATGAAAGATTTGAAAACAGAACTTAAGAAATTTGGAAGAAAACATCAACCATAGGTTCGGTTCGATTCCGCTTCTATTAATGGATGATCCAACGTTGATGTGTAGATTGTCTGTAAAAATGCAGCCAATTGATTTGCTTCATATGCTCTTCCTCTTTGCAGATCAACCCCAATTGATGATAACTTCCGGTCCAATGCAAGGCATGCCACCAGCAAGCGTTTATGGAATGCCCCCGCAACCGGGAATCCCACAACAGGCTGGAATACCGCAGCAAGCAGCAATGCCCGGCTACGGCTATCAACCGGGGTACGGGATGTAATTACATGTTGAATGTCTGGGACGGATGCTGATACCCATATGTTATTGAAGGGTTTTTCAAAGATTGTATAATACGGACGTTATAGACTGCGTTAATGAGACATGGCATTTGACCAAATGTCTTGCCTATAGCGTACCTTGAAATTCTGCGATGATTTCTTTCCTGTGTGACGTCACAGTTTCGCTGAGATTTCTAAAACTTTCTTGTTTGTACACATCAAGATGTAATGTTTGTGTGGCATAGGAAACCCTAATGACGTCATATTTGAAAGACAATCTGAGGGAAGTTTTGGGTATTTTCATTATCAATTTTTAGATAGTCAGCTACGGTGCTCTAGTTTTGTTTTATACGCCAATTCTGCTAGACAGCTTTTCAAATTTCCATTGATTTAAAGATATCTACAATTCTTCACGATCTTTAATATATAGATTCAAATATACAAACGTGCCTTGAGGAACGATCGTCTCCGTATTTGCTTGTAACCCGTTTGCCTCTTAAAGCGTATTAGGCAGTTACGTGTTTTACTTGCAGCATTTTGCTGAATGAATAATGTTATGTCTTTACCACTAGGCTCAATGCTACACTTAATGCTAAGTTGATTGATCGTAGGTTGATTTTTGAGATTCCTATAAAGTTGATCATAAATATCTTGTGCAAGGTTGATATTTTTTAAACTTGATTGATATTTTACGCCTATTGGATATACCTTTTTATTTGACTGTCACAGGTAGATAGGTATCCTGGTTAACCAGTTGCGAATTGAAGAAGTCACACCCTCTTGTTAGAAGCCTTTCAGTATTCCTCCAAGCACTATGCACGAGTTCTCTTTGGTATCCCTTTCTGTTTCAATGTTGAGGCAGTTTTGTATTGGATGGGAAATTAATGATGTTTCATCTAATATTACGATTTCAGAGCTGAGCAAATTACACTAGATGATAAAATTGTATTGTAATTAGCGGTTGTGATCGCCCATTATTGAGATAATTCTGACAATATAAGACCGTGTTTTCTGAGAACTGTCTATCGTCTGCTATGTGACCCTGCTTTGTGCCAAGGTACAATCCTTGCCAAAGGTCTTGGTACACCAAGCTAAAATTTTGCATAACTTCCGTAGCATCCTGCTCTCCCTCTTTAAACAATGTTGAATAACAACAGTTTCAAAGCTTGAAATTCATCCAATGTCACTTTATCAGTTAGGGCTTACCCTAATAGGCTTTTCAACCAACATTGTTTTTGGGGGGAGGGGGGATATTTCTGTATCTTACGGCCGGAAACCTTTATTTCTTCAAAATCTTTCATTGGTCGCAGGGTGTTCCATGTACTTTTGTCAAGGATTTTAGAACAAATAGCTTAAACGAAACATTTGCGCCAAGTGCGGAATTAGCTGCGAAAAGAATTGGCAAAGCGGAATTCCCAATCGAATCGAGCCAATCAGTTTTTGGTGTTTCTAGGCTTTTCGTCCTAGGCTTTTCTTTTTCGGGTATTTTCTTTCACACTATTTAAGCAGATTGAAAAGTGCCAGAGTGTCATCCTAAAAAGTAAGGAAGGGGACCTATGCTGTAAAAGCCACACCAAAGACCTCACCCTGTATACTTGCATTTTTCAACAAAATCTCTCCCAATTTTAACAAGGGGGCTGTTTCCATCTCCCCCCATCCATGGCACCACTGTTGAGATCCAATCTTAACAAACAGAATTTTGAAAAGGGGTTTTGAAAACTCGCCACTGCTTTTCCAGATGTATGAGAGATCTACCAGATTTTTCCAAATGAACTTCCATAACACAGAATTAGCCAACAAAGAATTGAAATCTGTGAAAAATGACTAAGATAAAATAATTTATTGTGCATTATTGATAAAAGAAGCTACATTATTTTCCTTCTTGTTTTTTCGCTGGAACCCTTTCCAAAATTGGTACAAAACGCATGATAGTGGTGAAAAAGTCAAATTTTTAGGCTGAAGATGCTCTAGGTGAATTTTCTAAAAAATGTCAAAAACCTAGATTGTGTTTATCAAATTTGATATCGCATCCATTTGGAATATTTGGGGGGGGGGCAACATCCTAGGGCTTTAGCAGCTTTTTGATAAAGTATTCTAGCCGGGCGTCCAGTCAGCCAGCGAGGTCGTCACGAAACAGGGGGTCGTTATAGGAAGGAAATCGCTTCTGGCTTCCGTGATTATATAAGTGCAACATCACAGCAGCTGCGCATGTACATCAAGAAGAGGGACACTGGTCCGGGGCAATGGAAGTGAGAAGGATGGCTACACATTTGGTATTCCTCGTCTCTCTATTTGTAGCCGTTAATTCAGCAATTATTTATGCTGCAGAGAATGTCTGCTCTGTTATTTATGATGATAAAGCAAAGGCCTTACACGTTGTCTCCGGAAAGCAAGAGCCTTACGTTGCCCAAGCTGTCTTTGTTGGTGATTCTTTCAACAAAACAGGGTATGTTTCAAATTCTACCTTTTCCCCAGGTGGTCTTCTGATTATGATTTATGTGTTAGAATTTTACTTCAGTTATCAGTTACCTATATTTATAAGATGGACTATCTTCGCGAATATCCTAAGTAAAGTTCGGATGTTTGAAGCCTGTTCTCACATCATGTGACTCCTTACCTATGATGCAATTTTTAAAGTCAAATGGGATCGGTTTTAACCACACATTGGCGCCTACCACAGATTTGCACCTTCAGTTTATTACTGAGTTTCAAACGTGCCAATGCCAGTTTTCGTTTGCAAAGTTTTGTACATTTTCTTTGCTTGCCAACCTTTGTTCTTTAATCTCCGGTATCCTCAATGTAAAGCTTGTAAATATTTTTAAGTCCGCCTGTCCCATAGCCTCAAGCTTTTAAAAAAACACACAGAGCAGATCAACGAAGTAAAGTGACACCACTTCGCGAATTTCGAAGCAAGGGGGCGTAATTTCTTACCCTATTGTCATAGAAGGCTTGATAGGTAATGGACCAGACCAAGGAAGTGTTTTCTCATACATAAAGCACGGTATGGAATGCAGATTTTTGTGGGAAAATGCATACCGTAAAAGCTCTATTGAACCCCCTCTCTCTATTAAGCCCCCCCACTCTATTAAGCCCCCCACTCTATTAAGCCCCCCACTCTATTAAGCCCCCTACTCTATTAAGCCCCTCCTTATCAAACAAAAACTTAAAATTAGCCCCCCACTCTCTATTAAACCCTCCTCTTTAGCCTTTATTGTCAAACAAGGAAAACATGCGCATTTAATCAGTCTCTTAACAGGTGTGATGATAATAAGATCGTGTGCATTAAATACGGCCCATGTAAACCAGGCTGGAAAACTTGCATATGCTTGCAGTGACGCTAGACTTCTTGTGCTTGCACCTCACACCTCTAGTGACCCAAAATATCAAGAAATTCATAAACCATAGTTATAGTAATGTGTGTATGGACATTGTTCCTCGCAGCTCAAATGCTTCTGCTTACAGGTCACAACTGATAATGTGCCATTGGTCGCATTAACGCGTCCGCAAAACCATACATGTTTTCCAACCTGGCATGTAAAGACTTACTTGTGTGCCTAAAAAGTCAGCCAAAATTTTTTAGAAGATGTCCTTGGGTATCAATTGATCCTGATGATTCTGGTGAAGATAAGGACCTTATAATTGAATAATTAGACTTTTGAAGATGCTAAAAAAGTTTTCTGAGAATATTTGTATGACATTTTTATAATAAAAAACAGAAAAGGGCATTTTTAAAACATTTTTTACTTTAAATTTTTAATAAGACCCCCTCTCTTTTAAGCCCCCCTTTGGGATTGAAAAAATTTAAGATTTAAGCCCCCAGGGGTTTAACAGAGCTTTTACGGTAATTCTGAATAGTTTGGTGCCTTGCACTAATCCACAAGGACCCTTAAGACTGAATTGAACTAAATCATTGGCTGTTCTTAGAAAACAAAGGGATATCTTGTGTGCACCCAGTGGCATGGTGGGTGACTATTTACTGGGGGTGGCCAAATCATTTATGATGCCCCCATAAAGGATTCTGCCACCCCTTTTCTACAGATACAAAGCCCATGGTCAGAAATTCTAAAAATATTTTGGAATTTGGAGTCTTCATTGTTTGTTTTGTAAAGAACAACAGACATTATTTTTATCTTTGAAAGCAATGAACAAATCATATAGGATACTTTGCAGTTGTAAGGTTATCTTTTGCAACTGGCCTTGAAAAAAGATTTTCTTCCTGGCAGCAAAACAAACAATCCAAGATTTCCTGCAAAGCTTTGACAAAGTTTACAGCCACTGAAAGTGATATTTTAAGTTGTTTGATTTGGTTATTAAGCATTTGTCCTAAAAATAAACTGTAATACTAAAAAAGAACTATATAATTGTTGGTCCTTGATTTTTTATCATAGCTATTCAAAACAGCAATCATTTTGTGTATACTTTATAAGATGATCAGGGAGAATGTGATCAAACACGATACTCATAGTTTGTTTTCAAGGTTAAAGTTAGTAGAGCTGAAAATCTATAATAACTTTGATTTAATTTCATATCAATACTAGCAAACTAGATACTATTGAAGTATTGATCTATCCTATCCCTTGCCCTGGGTTTATGTTTGTTGCTCAATTTTATCATCAAAAGCTAGTAGTTCATACAACATGTAAGAATACCATTTTATTTTTCAATGTTTAAAATAAATGTTTTAAATCAGGGTTGGTGCTAGAAGCAAAGATGTAAGCCCAAAACGCTTACATTCTATTAAGCTAGTGATGAAAAGGCCGCTAGAAAGTATGGATAATAATGGACACATCCACACAGTTTTTAGGGCAAGTTCACCTTCAAGTTTGTTCACATTGGGGGCATGTTCACAATTGACGAAACAAGATTTTATGTATTTAAATGTTTTTACTTATTTAGAATGGCTAATGTGAAAAGAGAAATGAACTTTGTTTTAGCTTGCTTGAATTAAATTATTAGCTGAAAAACATACCCGAATTGCTGGAAATCTGGTATAATAGACTCTGATAATACCAGATTTGGTATATTTTAAGAGCTTATCTTTGTAGTGCAAAACAGAAATTATATATTATGTATATATATCACAGAAAACAGTGTTCCATAGAAAGAGAGTAACATAAGGTCAATGTTCATATTGAAATAAAGCAATGGAGATTTCAGGTTAAAAATTTTCTGGCAAACAGCAACAATTTCCTATAATGAATTTGTGCTCAAAATTTCTTGTCATTGCCGCTTTGCAAGTACATTGTTTCACATTCTCATCTTAACTTAATTAAATGCCAGTGGAATCTTCTCTTCAGTCATTATTGCAAGTGAGAGCCCTATATGATCTTGCACCATCATTGAACAAATTCTTGCAGAAAATGAGCATGCTGCGGAAGAAGAGCTTATTGGGCTACTGTGGAAGAACTAATGCAATGGTATAAACTTGGCATGATGTTTGATATGCATACAAAAGATTGTAAACTGGAAATTCAAAGGCATCAATGAACAAATAAATCTTTTTTTAATCCTTCTTCAGATGCTATTTTTATTATTAAAATTTTTATTGTGCTTGCAGGTGGACAACATTGAAACTGACTTCCAATGAAACCTATGCTGACAGTCTGCAAGCACGTGCTGCTGGCATGGCTGAAGGTTTCATCACTAGTGAACTCATTTACATGCACTATATGAACACTTTGGCTGATTATTGTACAAATGAGAAAGACTTTTGCACAAAGTTGTCAAAATTTGTAAGTGATAATAAGGAATGGATAAATAACAAAATCAAGGATTCTCAAAGTACAGAGAAGAGCTACTGGCATCAGGTAATGGAACTTTTTATATAAAAGTCACAGTAATATATCAATAGTATCTAAAGACAAACAGGAGTATCCATGCAGGGGCGGCACCACGGGGTGGACTGGGGTGGATGTGTCCACCCTACTCTTTTAAGATCGACTTTCTAATTTTACCATAACTGGACTAAAAACTTAAGGAGGAGGGGGGAAGGTTGTTAGTTTTCTTCTCTGCGATCGGAACTTTTTTCATTTTGATTGCAAGTTACGGTTCTTTCAGATTTTAGCTGACATAGAGTATGGTTTGTTGGATCATCAGTTCTGTAAATAGTGATAACCTAAAATGAAGATGATCTTTAAAACACAGCTTTATCGTTGGTTCTTGCCTTCCTTCCTTGTTAAAGGTTTTTGGCAACTTTAAAACTTGTACCCAAACTGTGTGAACCTTTCCCTATGAAATTTATATAACTCTTCTATTGAGTGTTTCAAAATATGTCAAACTTGGTTATCAATAACAAGCATGATTTCTTGAATGGTGTTGCACCAGTTTCTCACCCAGACCCCTTTATTAGCTCCACCCATTTATTGTCCACCCCACTATTTTGGGGCTGACGCTGCACCTGTATCCATGTGGTAGAAATAGTTTAATCCTGTATTATCTTACCTAAATTGAGTTCAAAGTGAAATTTCTGCTTCTGCAAAACCCTTAGTTCATGAATCAAGACTAGTTTCATGTAACTTTTTAAGTGTTCTTCTTGAGGGATTTTGATAGTATTTTGTTTTTTTTTCAGGTAGATTTAATTTATACCCAGATACAAGGGTTGCAGGAAGGATATGCTGCTTCAAAACAACCAAAGATAGACGAAATGGGATTCATGTAAGATATCTCTTCAAGGCTTGTGCATTAGGGTATTATATACATCATGGCTTTTCAATAATGATTGGTTATATAGTTGAATCCAGTTAATTAGAACCTTCAAGAAGTTAAGGAAAGGCTCTATTGTGCAACCAGCATACTTTGCAGTAGCTGTTTTTACTATAGGAGAAATGGGCTGTAATTGGTATTTTCATTGAGTGTGTTATCAGGGAAATTTTGAAAATATTGTCACAAAGCATCAGGAATCATTACCAGCCATCTGGGATAGTCACAGACCACGGGCAATGCTCTGGGAATCATTGCAGACGAATTATGATATATGATAACCAGGCTTCAACAAATGTTCAAATTATCTGGTGGTATGGCCTCTGATTTGAATAAAGTAGAAAAATCTGGTGGGAACTGAGTCAGCATCAGTCAAATTGGCTTAGTCAAAGTTAGGGTTATCTAGGATAAGATGTATGTTGCTAAATACTTATTTCAAGACTGTCAAAGACTGTGAAAAGTGTTTGACCAATAAGATTGCTAGTAAACCATTAAGCCTCAGTCATAATTCACGTTCAAATCTCTATTTAGACTTGTTTGAATTAACAGTGATTTGAAATTCCTGCCTATTTATACCAACTTTTATTTCCTTTTAGTCATTGCCTTTTAAGATATACTGCCATTTATTCAAAAGAAGCCGCTTCTCTATTCTGCTTGAGTCTTTGAATATGTGTACTTTACTTATCCACATTTGATAAGCCCTTGCATCTAATTTATATTTTTAGCTGAATTTGAGGTTTCCCCGTATCATTTTCTCATGACGTATACAAATCATGCGATCCAAAGAAAAAGAAACATGTTTCTTTGAAAGCTAATCTTCAGTAACAACATTTTTGTTCTGCTGTTTTTGGGGAGCTTTGTTGATTTAAGACAACGTTGGAAGAACAAAAGTATTTTAATGCTTTATTTCCCTTCTCTCTTTATTAAAAAGCGTAAGCTTTAGGCAATATTTTTTTATTATTTTTAGTTGGATTTAAACTAAAATAAAGGAATTACTTTCGAATTCATTATCTCCTTGCAGGTTATTGCAGATTTTTGGAGATTTAGAAGACCTTGAAGTAGCTCTTGGCAAAAAACAATTAAGACGATCAACAGGATCGGGACATTGTTCTGCAATCATAAAACTTTTGCCAAAAAATGCTGATCTTATGGTGTCTCAAGTAACCTGGAATGACTATAATGCAATGTTGCGAGTTTTCAAACTTTACAAGCTCGGCTTTCATAAAACTGATGGTAATCCTTTGTTTATTTTGATTAGGAAGTCCTGAGAAACCTTTATTTAAAAGTACTGTTCAAAGATAAGTTTAGGATTTTATGTTTGCAGAGGGCTATTTTCAGAATACACTGTGAAGAAGCTGCATATAAATTTGAAACCTTGTATCTCTGTGTTTTCGAAAAACGCATATTTAAGCTCCCATTATCCCATCACTGGATTAGAATGTGTCCATATACCTCTCGCTTCTATAAGGGTTGAGTCTCAGAGTCTACTGAGGCCCCTGCCCCTCGACTGTTGTTTTTTCAAAGTTTCCCTAGGTTTTGCATGAATGATGATACATGAACCAAAATTTGAGCATGATTAATTTTCAAGTAATGTATTTAAAGTGCAGTTAATATGTGCAATTATCTTGTATATCTTGTGATACTGCATGGTTTTTCCATGGTTTACATAGTTCTTTAAAGACATAGAACACCCACCAACACTATGAATGCATTTAATGCTACTTTAAAGCTCTTAATTTATTCTATGTTAATTCATAGACTTTTAGCCTTTATTTTTTCAGTACATTTTTAAGTGTGATTTGCGAGCCTATCCCTTTTGGGTTATTTCAGGTCAACAACGAGGCCCACTGATAAGTGGCATCAATGTTAGCTTCTCATCATACCCTGGCTTGCTTTACAGCGGAGATGATTTTCACATAATTAGCAGTGGCTTGGTATGCAAACATATTTGAGTTTTATTCCGTTATTTTTCAGTTCTTTATTGTCAGGTAACTTTGTGAATGATTCAGGAATGAAGTTGTGCAATTTCCTTTGCTGTGTAGCAACACTATGTCGTTGTAATGGCCACCGGATTGCAATGCATTTCCTTGTTGTCTGTCGTGTCATCTTGTCTTTAATAATATGTTGCTAGCTTAGAAAGATTTTTGGTAAAACTCCTAATTCATTCAAGCGATTTCTTAGGTTAGGATTTTCCGTTAACCGAGAATTCATCCATACATTTTTAGATTTTTTTCCTCCTTTTTTGATAGCTATTAGTCATCTTTATATCCCAAAGGGCCATTCAGTTATCAGGGTCTTTGATTCTTAAAGATTTACAATTAATTAGATTATTCGTTTGAAAAATGTTTAATTTTTTGTAACAAATTTTAATTACAAGAAACTGATCCTGAAGTTGAATGTCACATATAAATCAAAGAAAATGACTAAAAATACCTTTTGATATAGAGTCGCTGTAGAGAATCTTAAATTGTTGCATGTCATGTTGTTTTAGGTATCACAAGAGACAACTATTGGGAACATGAATGCTGATTTGTGGAAGTTTATCACACCAAACTCTTTGCTGGAGTTTGCACGTACCATAGTTGCAAACAGACTGGCAACCTCAGCTGATCAATGGTGCTACATGTTTGAGAAGTACAACAGTGGAACGTAAGAATCTGTAGCATCTAAGTAGCTTGTACTGTCTGTATTAGAATATAGCATGATCAATCATTACTGTTAACCAGTTTTTTGTAAGTTTCGTTGTTGTGTTGGCAAGCTCTTTGCATATTGGTGTGTATAGGGGGACAGTTATAAGTTAAATAAACAATGCAGACACGTTTGGGAAAACAAAAAGCAATTTTTTTTGGAGGTTGTCTACACAAACGGTATACTGATTACTAACAGAACCTTGATTTTCTCTAAGTTGACTACTATAATTCATAAACTCTGCAATTTTAGCCTAGCTCTCAAACCAGATCCCTAAGAACATGCTGGGTAACATACATGCATTAGCAAACAGATGTCCATGCAACCGCTCAAAATTGAGGGGTATCTATTTAGAACAGATATACATCAGACTCAGTAGAGGTGTTGGGAATCTGTACACTGTTTGTCCTGAATATTAAGGCTGATGATAGTCTGAAAGTAGTATTACTGCACGAGAGGGACATGCACCTTGGTTCCTG